TCAATGCAGTCGAGTGTTTTAATAATGGATGCTCGCCTAAGAAGCGTTTGCGAGTGTCATTGGTGTTTATGTACATATGGACATCAGACACTCCAGGCTCAGACACAAACACTCGCTCTGACAGAACTGTTCACTGATGCTGTCGACTTACCTTCAGAATGCTGTATTTTGCTGTGTTCAGTAATTCTGAATGGATCTGTATAGTATATATGCAGTCAGGTCAAGATGGCGGCTGGAATCTCCATGTGGTCCTGTTTGGTATCACATATTGGCATGTAGTTAGATATGAAAAAGCTCTAAATAAATGTAACATTTATTTATTTTTCTCAGTTTTTGCTGTTGCAGTGTATACATACATTGTGATTAAAGAAAAATTTTCCACCAGCCGCCACTGCTGTAGCCCAAATGGTTTTTCAATGTCTCAGAATAGTTTTAACCGAATAGATATTTTCGTCAAAGGAACAAAACTAAAAAGGCTCCATCAAACGATTGCTAGCTATTAAAGGCTCTATCTCTGGCTCTTTCTCATCGGGTTATTTTCCTTCTCCTCTGTATCTCTATGTCTTCTGAGTAATTCCAGAAGAATGAACTCAAGATTGCCTCTCTAGGCTGCACCCCTCTCCCTTCATCCTTCTATTCAGTCTCGCCCACTCCTTCCTGGTCTGATAGAGGTACTGGTATAAGTGTGTGTTAGTGTGTATGTGTTTGTCTAGCAACACATGCATGCCTGACCCAATCTTGCGTAACCAGCATGAAGTGTCGTCCAGCTTCTTTTTCATCATATTTACTTTTTTTCCCCAGTCGAAATTTGTAAAAAAAAAAATCTGAAAACAACACATGAAATCTGATTTCAAGCAACTTGCTTATTAATATTTGCAGCGTTACTATAACAATCAATGTGGGTGTGCCAGCAAAAGTGACAGTACAAATCTGAATGCATAATGAGTACATTACAGTTTAAAAGTCTGTGGTTAATTTTTCATGTTTTCCATGTCTCTTATGCTCACCAAGGCTGCATTTATTTGATCAAAAATACAGTAAAAATAATATGTTTATAATGTAATTTAATGCTTTGTTGGCAAAGCTGAATTTTCAGCATCATTACTCCAGTGTCACATGATCCTTCAGAAATCATTCTAATATGCTGATTTGGTGCTCAAGATACATTTCTTATTATCAATTTGTGCTACTCAATATTTTTGTGGAAACCGTGATACATTTTTTCAGGATTCTTTGATTACCTGAAAGTTCAAAAGAACAGCATTCATTTGAAATATAAATATTTTGAAACATTTTAAATGTATTCCGTGTCATTTTTGATCAATTTAATGTATCCTTGCTAAATAAAAGTATTAATATCTTTAAATCTTACTTTCCCCAAAATGTTGAATGGTTGGATAACTTGCACTTTGAATAGTATCTAAAAGATATTACCTGCTGCAGTATGAATGAAGCTTGTATGTCACAAAACACTTTCAATAGGTTAATTTGAACTCCAGTTCCTCCTCAGAAGTTTTGGGTAATCCAGTCAGTCATATCAGAACTAATCATGTCAGTCAGCTCATTTTTGTGCTCAATAGGCTAGTCAGATCTGACAATAAAGTAGTCATCACATAGTATGAGTCCCTCTCTTGGCGTGGAGGGAAACTACAGAACCAGTTTTTGTTTGTTTGTGCATAATCTAAATAAAGAACATTCCATTGGTTTGTCCTTTAATGGCACAGTGCATTATTAGTGATTCTTATGTAATATTATAATGACTCTTTCTGTCACTCTTTGTTCAGGTGAGGTCTCAGGAGCCTCCCTCAAATACGCCTCCTCTCTTGGTTGGAATTTCGTGACCCCTCATGCTCAGGATCAGCACAAAGTGACGACTGCCTCATGGCCGGCACAGGGGAGTGACAGACTACAGATGTCCTCCAGACTGAGTGCTGCTGTCTCTCCCTTTCTCTGAGTGAATCAGTGTCATATTATTTCACCATAAAATGCATTAGATATCCTGGATTATGTGTAGATCTATTAGTCAGTTTTATTTGCTACATAAGAACCACCAAAAAGCTCTCAAAGTTGCATTTGAGTAGATTAGTATTATAGACATATGGATTGGCAATCCATGTCTTTAACCAAAGTAACATCTTATGGGTTTTATGTTTGGTGTTAAGGTTTATATTGAACCAGCAACAAAATTAATGTGCAATTATAATACTACTGTGCTACCAGCCAGACCTGCTACACTGTAAATGAAAGTCACCCCTGGGACGAGCTGAAGATCGATGGTGCAATAATCTTTCAATCAGCCTGCTACTGTAGTCTTGAAATGATATGTTTGTTTGTTCTGTGTTATTGCCAAAGTTTTAGTTTGTTGCTTTTAATGAACTTTCAATGTACTTTTTTCCTTTTTATTTTTATTTTTCATTGTCCATTCTTCTTTTCTTTTCTTTTTCTTTTTACACAGTTTTTATTGAATCTTTTCCCTGTTTTATATTAATTCTCGTACTGGAGATTATTGATAATTTCTTTTTGGTTTTGCCCCCCCCCCCCCCCCCCCAAAAAAGAGTTTTTTATATTTATATTTGCTGTATCAGCTCTTCTTGATGGACCATTTTGGATATTTGTTTTTAAATGTTTTTGTTTTGTTTTGTTTTAATTTACTTTGTTTTTTCGCTTTTTTTTACCTCCCTCCATGATAGATTTGCAATGTCTGTAAATTGGTTCCTATGAGATAAATACTAAAGGTAAACATTATCTAAAGATAATAAGTTAACACTACTGAGTTAAATTATTATTGTGTTAGACACTGCAGACAATTTAGCAAATTGTAGATTGTGAGACTGGTCATAACTCAACATGTGCATAGCTTTACTGTTCTTAACTTAACTGCTCTTGCATGAACCACATAGCTTTACGCTGTGCAGTATTTCAGTATTCCACAACCGTGCAAGAAGTCCTGGGGTTTCTGCTGTATATGTCAACTGAACTGGTGCCATTTTGTTTGTTCTGTATATTATGTTTGTTTATAAGAGTCCAAATTCAAAGCATAACGCATGGACGCGTTATGATGAACTCCTGAGACAAAGGAGAGCTATGGGTCATTTCAGTTCAACTTGCACTCATTGTTCTATGACAATCAAATACTTCTCAGAGGTTTGTAATTTTGGACTATCAGTTTAAAATATTGGTAGCAATTTGATTTTAAATTTCCCTTTGTAAATTAATTTACATTGAGTGAGTGTTGTTAAAGAGAGTAAAATGCATGTGTATTTCAGGGAAAAGTGTGGAGGAAACTCTCAAAACAAAAAGGACGGTTTAATAAACTAAAAAGGGAATCATAAACGTGTCTTATAGTGTAATTTTTTTGTCCATATTCCTTACAATACTTACTTAAGTTGTGTATTATTGGCACACAAAAACCTAAAATAATATTTTCACCTCCTCATACATTTATACTTCTATTTAGACATGTTCTATCTATAGAAGAACTTTTCTCAATACATTAGTCTCAACAATAGGTCTTTGTACCAGCAGATGGCACTATACAGCCAATCTACATTGAGACTTATGACATGCTTCATACATCAAGCATATTAGCCACATCGTTAATGAGGACGTAATTGAAAGCTTTTATCAGGAAGAATTCCTCTGTCCTTCAGTGTCCAGTTTTATGTACTTGAATCATTCATAACAGCGTTGCTGCTTAGGAAGTCTGAGTGAATCCAAACGCACCAAGGCCAGCTTTTGCGTCAGAGTTGTGAACCACTTCAGAACTATTCTCAAGTCTTTAACCCTTTTATCATTTGTTACATGCAAAGTTACAAGGGGTGGCTTTTCATTTTGACCGTATCACGTTGTCAAGTTTACATTACTCCAACATAATTCAAAAGAACGTGAGCTATTCCGCTACAAGGTAGCTCAATAGTTCGGGGTTGGGATGAATGTGTTTATGGATTTTTTCTTGCAAACAAAAAAACAAAACAAAAAAAAGTCTTATGCTCGTAAAGGGTGCATTTATTTGATCAAAAAACATTAGTATAATATTATAATTTAACATTTTAACATTTAATTTAATCCTGTGATGGCAAAGCTGAATTTTCAATAGTGATTACTCAAGTCTTCAGCGTATAGGAAAAGTTCAGGATTCTTTGATGAATAAAAAGACTTACAGAATTATTAAAGGGATTGTTCACCCAAAACTGAAAATGTTGTCATCATTTACTCACCCTCATGTTGTTCAAAACCTGTATGAATTATTTCTTTCTTCTGCTGAAGAATGTCAGTAACCAAACAGTTGATACTATGGAAGTCAATGGAGCTTGGGCCTTTTTGGTTGCCCATTTTCTTCAAAATATCTTCTTTTGTGTTCAGCAGAAGAAAAAAATTGACAGAATTTTCAGTTTTGGGTGAACTATCCCTTTAACATTTTAACATACATTTCTTTACTGTCACTTTTGATCAGATTAATGGTTTCTTGCTAAAAAAAAAAGTATTCATCTTTTTTAAAAAAATGTATCTGGTAAAATGTGCAATAAAACACAACAAATTGTATTAAAATACAACCTTTAATGTAAACAAGGGTTACTAAAATAACCAAACGTTGGGGATAAAAGGCAACAAAAGTTAAAATTATATTTCCAATGTAGAGTTGAGATGCAAAGGGACCCACGCAGAGATCGAACAATGATATAAGGCACATTTAGCTCTTTTGTGTGGGTTCCCATTTTGGATTGTTTCTCTGGTCCTTGTTTTATTGTGGATGTTTCGCATTTTTCACAGAATATATAAAAAAAAATGACTGACTGCAGTGTATAAAGACTTGAATACGGCCCAACCTAATTCACTTTAAAAAAAATTGTACTCTGTATAATAAGGTATAATTACTATCTATCTATCTATCTATCTATCTATCTATCTATCTATCTATCTATCTATCTATCTATCTATCTATCTATCTATCTATCTATCTATCTATCTATCGTAAAACAGAGACTGATACTGTATATAGCATTATAGTGCACTGGCTCACAATGGCTTCAGTGTTCTGGTCAGCTATTACATGACCACAACATGGTCACATGATAAAAGCATATAAATGGATCAAATTATTATCAGAATATTTCAGAAATTTATTTACTACACATAGGTACATTTATATTTCAGTGTAAACATTAATTAGGTTGGGCCCCAACCTCAAGGCAAGACACCATCATGGCTTTTTCCAGACTTTGGTTACTGAACAAAACGTTTTTTTTTTCCCATCATGGAGGGTGTTTTCAAAGAGAGGTGGTTAAAAGTTGTGCGTGTAAAACATGCAAGACTCTGTCATACGAAAATCCATCATTTCGAGATGCCTAATCCAGACCTCATATACTCATACACCACATAGCTGATGCTGACAGCTGGGATCACTTTCATGAAGTTGGGCAAGATCCCACGGTACAGCCCGAAAAAACCCTCGTTCTCCATGATCTTCTTCACTAACTTGGACATGGACACCTGCTCTGATCCCTCCATTGACGCTGGGAAGAATGAAAGGAAATGTTAGGCAAATCACAGTGCAAAAGCATAGATGAGGTGTATATTCTGGCCTGAGTATTTACCTTGGGCCTGCATGCGTGTGCGGATCAGAGCGAGAGGGTAACTGGCCAACTGGCCGCATGTGCTGGAAATGGTCCCACAACCGAGAAGAACCAGCACTCCTGGGTTAGCAGTGTCTTTAGCATAGCGAGACAACCAGGCATTCTTCAGGGTCTGTAGAAATAGAATGAATACAATTATAAATTTATTCATATTTTGCATTAAAATGCATGTCATCAAATAAGAAGATAGCACAGACACGCTAGTCCCATATTGCAGAATTGGTATTTTTAAATATACCTTTTAAGGTCAAAGCAGGCTAGTTTTAGCTGCTCAACGGGTCGAATTAGCATGAGAGCACGGTCCAAAAAAAAAAAACACACAGATGGGAGTGTAAAGTTCTGCGCGTGATATACTGATGCAGCCAGATCATTTCCATAATGACCAACGCAATCTACCAAGATAAACTGTTTTAAGACATGCTTAATTTTGGCAGTAAATAATGACACATACCATTATATTAACGAGCGCAAACCTTAGTAAATCACCTTGAGTGATTTATTTAAATACTCTCCTACAATAAATTTAGCGTCTGAAAGGGAAACTCCTACAAATGTATATGCAATAAGGTCAGAAGGTCAAGGTAAAAAAAAATTTCCATGCCTTTTCAGCACTATTTTTTTGCATGTCTTTAGTAAATCCTGACAGTAGTTTTTAACGTCAAAAGAGGGTTTGCGCTGGCACAAGTTTAACCATTTATTAATATTTTTTAGTACCCATTTATTAATACAATAAACCTGTCTAAATATTATATTTGTGCACTTCAGATAAAGTAAAAATTATTTTTTTCTTAATTAAATTTTCTTTATATATTTTCTATAAAAAGGGTCAAATCTATTAAATGCTTATCCTCATGTCCTTCGTTACCTAGCCGACTATATTTATGAGAACTGAATACACAAAAATGCAAACATCTGCCGCATTTATAAGTAGGTCACAAACCAGAAAAACTTCAAAATGCCCAGAGGTGTAACACCTAAGCTAAAAATACATAGCTGCATATTCAGGAACTGGGTTTTTAGTCTAACAATATATTATTGAGCAGTGGTTCCCTGGTCCTGGAGAACCCTTAACACTGAACACATTAGTCCACTAATATAGTTGACTTGAGGGAGTGAATGAAAACGATTGCATGAATTCGGACACTGAGTGCGCTGAAAAGGTTGCCGCTTTTGCACAGTTTGTGCTTGCGATTTGAATCATTTGAAACTTAGCAAACTGGCAGCTCCAGTAGTAAGATGAAAAGATTTATCTTGAACTCTGTCATGGAAACTATGTATAAACCTTAATTAAACAATTTAATAATCAATTAAAAGGAATTTATACCTGTATGATATTACGCTGTAGCCACATAGGACCAGCGGTTTGGAGCGTGACTCTCACAGTGCATTATTGGTATTCTATAGCCGTTGAACGTACAAAAGTTGTACACTAGTTTTTGCAGTGCATTGTGGGATTGAATGAGTCCACTCGATAACATCCACTATGGTTTCGGACACCTCTATAAAAGGCTGTGCTCTAAAATAATGCCCCTATAAGGGTATAGGGGGTGATTTCGGACACAGCCCCATTTTCTCTAATTGAATAGCTATCTGATCGTGAAAAGACCAGGTGTAAATGCCCTCCTAAATCCTTCAAGACGGATTTAAATTCGTTCACTCAAACCACTGAAGGAGGTTGTCTGAGACACATATTCTCGACGAAACTGGACAAGTGTACATGCATCTGGTTATTGAAACCACACATGTAAATTTTACTCCTCCCAAAATGGTCAAAAATAAACTTGAGAGCTTGTCATAGGTTATATGATGGGTTATAGCCAGATGTGACAGGGCTACTGCAACACGCATCGCCTCATATGAGTAGCTGAGTATCTCTTCAGCAAGCCGACGTTTGAAACTGAACGTTTGGCGTCGCAGACGCTCATCACACAATCATCTTTATTAAAAGTAATGAGACTAAATGATCTGGCCAGTGCTGATGCTGCTCTCTCCTACTGCAGTCTTTGATCTTGAAATTAAATAGTTGACGTGAACTCCATTAAATTTGCATTTGCATGGTAATTGAAGACTGGATTCATATTAGTTTTGTGGAGGCACATTTACGTGGCCAAGTGTAAAAGGAACAGTTTTAATAAATCAGATAGCTATACGATCAGTAAAAACACATGAAGTGACCAGGTGTAAATAGGGCCTGGGGGTATTCCAGGACCAGGATTGGGAACCACTGATCTTGAGGTATTTCACAGTGTTTCAGAGTTTGTACGCACCTCATACACTGCTAAATCTATTCCAGCATACGGAATAATTCCAATGATGTTGGGCACATAGCCTTTATAAAAGGCCTTCACACCCTCCTTCTTCATAATCTTCTTAGCACAGTCAAACATTCCAGAATACTGACCGGTCTTCCCCAGAGTGAGTCTGGTCTTCATTACCTACAATTTAAAAGAGTTAAAACATTCATAATCATTTACCTGAAGATGGGCACCATGTGTCATTATTGCCACTGAGCACAGTCCATTTTAAATGGGCAATATTGGAGCCACGATATATATATAGACATCTTTATAAGTCTTCACTTTCTTCCAAGAACATTATAGAAAAATCCATTTCCATGGGTCTCATTTCTCACCTCCATTGGGTAGATGGCCGTTTGAGCGGTCGCGCCAGCCATAGATCCAGCAATGAACCTCTCATGTGACTGGACTTTCCCACCATCTCTGGTCAGCATCCTCTTGTACTGTCAAAGCACAACACAAAACACATTATGCAAGACTGATTTACCTGATGTGAAAGCTCATCCAAGCAAAACTGAGATGGGTTTAACAATCGGTTCTCTTTTCATTAGGTAAAGGAAATGCGATCTTCTCCATTGCAATTATCCTCTGTCCTCTGACCGGATTACCAGTCCAGGGTTTTGTGAATGACTGCTGTTAAAATAGCTCTCACTGACACGCTGCTTGTGTAAGTAAGCAATGTCAAACAAGAGCATTTGACCATCGTAATCACAGCCGTGTTGATATTCAGTAAAACGGTTCCATAATCTACAAGTTAATTTTGAGTTACTGACATTTTCACACATCATATTGGCTTGTTTTTGCTTATGCTTGCTTCAACAAGAAAAATAATAGCACAAATACAAAAAAAACAAAGATTGTGGCAAAGAAAAATGCAAAAGTGGAAGTGGTTTTCAGTGTTTGTGGGTTTCTTGGCAATGTGGGTTTCTCAGTGTCACATTGGGCAATCACACCATCTCTAAACCAACAGATATATTCACTGAGCATCCATCTGATCTGTTGTTCAGTATTATTTGTTCATTTAGAGGGTGTTTTCTCACCTGCTCATACGCCATGAACTTGATTGAAGTTTCTGGAGCGATTTTTATGACGTTGACTCCATTACCCCTCCACAGAGAGGCCACGCCCCCTTCTTTAATCATCTTCTTGAATCCACCCACCAGACTGATTTTGTTGGTTTTTGAGGAATGAACCTATGAAAAGTATAGATTTACTGACTCGTTACACCATTCAATTAAATAATAAGTTAATTACATGAAATGTATTAATTCAGCAGTAGACCAGTGTTTTTTTACTATTATTTATATACCATTACAGTATTTTTACTAATAAAAGGTTTTAGTCATTTTGTTATGAATATCTTGTAATATTCATCAGCCAATTCAAATATCAGTTGATCATAAATGTTATCATCTCACAGAATTGTATTTCTCAAGTAAATTTCTCACTCACTGCTTGTGTAAGAAACCTGTCACATAAGCATTTGGTCATCATAATCATTTCATATACAATATGGCCAGTTTATTGAACATCTATTCTCTGAAAAAAAAACCTATTTTTTATTACCTCACAGAATTTATATTTCTCAAGTTAAAGTATCTTGTTGTATGGATGTGTACATATTTTTACTAGAAATAATAATGTTGAAGTGCAAATTTGGGTTTTAGAAAATCTGAACTGCACCTGCATGAAGACTTTCATTCTGTCCAGGGGGGCGGTTCCTGTTCGAGAGATCGCCCCTGCCACGGCCCCTGCAGCAAGCTGCCTCCACCAGATGCCAGTGGTCTTCTCCTCCTCAGTGAACTCATCTGGAATGCTTAGACTGTCACCTATATCCAACACCTAGCACACAACAGAGGTGAAGTTAGTTCCTAACCAGCTATCCTGCAGAGTAACTTACCAACCCATACTGAATCCTACAGCTCGGAGAAATGTTTGTCTTAGTGTTGGATTGAAATATGAAAACAATATCCTGTTACTGTTTTATGACAGGCCATATACAGTATTATGCAACGAATATGAAAATAGACAAACATCAGGGATGCAATATAACAGTTTATGTGGGAAAGCTGCAGTGTTAAGCAGAATGTACATGGGCCTCATTGCTGGACCAACTCTGACCTTTAACACCGCACAGCTACTGACTCCCTGAAGATGTATAATTTAATTTGCAAGAGACAATAGTCAAAATAAAGCTCAAAAGGGTTATCATGTCTTGAGTTACACAGAAGGGGGTTCATTTGTATAATATTACATGTCTACTAATCACATCTAATGTGCACCTAATTCATAACATATCCCATCCAACCTGTACTTAATTACAACCTAGCTCTTAATCCAAGTTAGTGTAATTAATGTCATCATCACCGTCATCTTATGTAATATATCAGTACTGCATCACAGACTTGAACAGGCAACACTATCTTTATTAAAGGGTTAGTTCACCCAAAAATAAAAGTTATGTCATCATTTACTCACCCTCATGTCATTCCAAACTTGTAAGACTTTCTTTTTTTCTACAGAACGCAGGAAGATATTTTGAAGAAAACAGTTTTGGTTCCCATTGACTTCCATTGTATTTTTTGTCCATTTAATGAAGTCAATGGGAACTGAAACTGTTTGGTTTCCGACATCTTTCAAAATATCATCTTTTACATTCCACAGAAGAAAGAAAATCATAAAGGTTTGGAATGGCACAGAGGTAAATAATTGACACATTTTTGAATAAATGGCTAATACAACCTTCATATATTTTTTGTTATATATGCCATTTTGAATCGGAAATTAAGCTATTTAGAAACAAAATATACCTCAATAGCATATTTTCACATTCATATCTTTATATCATAATATGGAGGATACAGCTCAGCAGGCCAAAGCTGCTTTGGCCTCTATGAAATAATGCGGATCAGAGGACTTACCATATCTACATCCATCACATATATAGCTTCTTCATCCTCAAAATCAAAGATGAGCCATTCCCCCTTGTGCTCCTGCAGCAAAGCCATGCTGACCCTCTGCTGCCAGCTCGTCTGATACCAGCCGTAGATGCTAACAACTACAACGAAGATCTATTGGTTCACCTGCTCTCCTCACAATGTTACAGTACCGGTTCACTCCTTCATCTCTGCCCAACATCACTGCACTTCCATCAGTCCAGCAGTCAGATGACGAGCACATCCAGGGATAATCCCAGTACAGGACAGTCTTAAATTAGCTTCGCTGCAATTGGCTGTAACGGCTCTCGCTAAACCTGCACTGCTCAAAAATCTGTGTGATTCAGGGTGATTTTTGCCCTGCGCTTTTTTAAATCTTAAAGCTTAAGTCAACCCGAAAAGATTTTAGATAAAAATAACCAGAAACATTGTAATATTAAAAAGTTAGTTAATCAGTAGTAATTATAATTAGCTTTATTTAAAAACAATATAAGTCTGTGGTATGTCCTCATTTATATAGTAAACGTGTAAGAGTTGTCTTAAACATTGAACATTAGTATTAGTGTGACTTTTGTTAACATTTGACACTTAATCAGTTAAAAGACTCTTTATCTTTCCTGCTCTCAACACTTTTCCCATGATTTCCCAATCCAGCCCACTCGCAGAGGGATATAAATGGCTGGCCAAGCTGATTAAAGGGCTACCTAGCTGTGTGCCTGACTAGACAACTGAAAGGCCGTCTGACCAGTCAATGACATGTGACTGTTTGACTAAACAAAGCCAGGCCGTCACCATAGCATTTAGTGTTCATCCTAATAACTGATACCTGCTTCAAATCAGATGGTAATGGATGAATGTAATATGCAATATCTTGAGTTCTTTTGTGGAACTTACAGTGGAGTGTTTCCAGTAGCGTATGATTTCCTGAAGGTTATCTGCTGGGTTGAAGAGGAAATGCTCCCTCCATTCATTCCAATCCAGAGACATAGTTCCATCCACATCAATACTGGAGAACAAAGGTCAAATGAGAGAAGACAAGTAGGTCTGGAGAACAATGTTCTATGTGGTAAAGTTACCATGTAGCTTAATGGGTGAATCAATTAAAATTGTCAATGAAATAAGACAGGTCTTATTTTAGCATATACATACATACATGCATACGTATATATGTACTTTTTTTTGCACAAAGAAAACAAAGCCTATGTTTTGTGAGATTGTTATACTTGCATGTTTTTTCATTAGTCTCATGCTTTTTGTCCCCTTTCAAACCATTACTAATCTTTTTTTCCTGCATGATAATCATAGATTTTCCCAAGAAACTCTGCCTTTCTCGGCAGTACTTTTATCAGCGAACTAACTAGATTGAGCATGAGCATTTCACAAGCAAAGACTTAACACCAGCATATTGTGGAGTTCACTAATCACTGACAACACAAATGTGTTGCAAAGACTTACATACATTTTACATAAAGGCCTGTTCACAACAAGTTAACACTATCACATTATCACTACATTAAAGCAAGTAAAATTTGTATCAGGTGTGTGATATTTAGCATTAAAGTGAGAGGAATCTTTATTGTCCAATGATTTATAGTCTATTAATTTTGATCATGTGAACAGACATTTCATCTAAATTTTTGTTTCACTTTTTCATTGAGTTTTTGGTGAGAATAGGCCTTGAGTACCTGTGGAGGATCTTCTCTGCATCTTGATCTGTCAAGTTTATGCCAATGTCTTTAAGTGACTGCTGAATCTCTTTGGCATCAATGCGACCTGCATGTACGCAAATAATGTTGTTAATTAATGTTTATTTTGTGATCAACAAAAGCAGAGTGCACAATGACAAGTTTTCAATTTGACTCTAAATTAAATCTTCAGTTTCAAAGCAGCTTTACACAAAGTCATACTGTTAAGTCTATAATGCCTTAATGCTTTAACATAGAGCGGTTTTAAGGCTAGGCGATATGGCAATATATAATAATGGTATAGTTTATCCCATTAATCTAATGGTCCAAAAGTGCTTCAAAATTAGTCCTCAAAGGAGAGCAAAAAACATACAGTATAGCCTACTTTAATCTTACCATCCTCATTTGTATCCAGACTCTTGAAGGTCAATCTGAGTTTTTTCTCATGTTCTTTCAGATACTTTGAAAACTCCTCAAAGTCCAGCCCCTCATCCTTATCAGTGTCTCCAGAGGCAACAATTTTCTGTAAGAGAAAAACATAACATGCGGTTCCTGAAAATGTCCATCACTGAGTACAAAAAACTCTGTACTACATCTGTAACAAAATATACAATACAAACATTATTTGCACATTGTAAAGATTCTGTTAAAGATATAAATCCAACGGAAACAATAATTTCTCAACTTTATACAAGATAAAACATTGCTCATTTACACCTCATTTTCATATTCAAACTGACAAACATGGCTCAGTTTTTTTTTTCTGACATCAATGTGAGCTTTAAAAACACTGCCATCCAGTGTTGTCATTTAGGTGCAATTATAAACTTCTACACACTTACATAACGCAGAAATGTAGGTAATACAAATCATATGATCACTCAAAACGGGATAACTATTATAAACCCCATGTATGTGTGGTGGCAAACAATTTTACATCACTAAATAAGAGACAAACATGTACCAATTGTCTTTAAAGTTGATTTATTTTCTTGCAAGACAATACAAAGTGCCTGCAGAGTGTGACAAAGAAGGTGTGACCACCTGATGAGTTTGCTGGAATACTGTTCTGTCTTGAACTTTGATACAGGGAGTCTCATTTGCCTAGGCAAGGTGGGGTTATATCAGCTGTCTCAGGTGTTAGGAATGTCAGGGAATGTGAATGTGGGTTATACATGAGCAGTATAGGAGTGTCTTTACCCACCCTTTTGCTTTAAGTGGACTTCATTGCAAATGACAGGAAGTGGCATAACCTGTATGTGACTGGAAAACCCTATTTGAAAGGAATGGGCTATATGCACGCATAACTTCCGCGTTTGATGCAAGGATGCTCTTGCGTTTCCGGTTGGGGAGATTTAAAGCGGAGGAAAACGGGATTATGGCAGAGTCTTCAAAATTTACTGTCCTCTCGTCTTTGAAACGAAACTTGAATACGTTTAGATGTAATTTTATATATAGTTATGTTTATTTAATATAATAAACAAAGAAGCATAAACAAAATGAGGGGTGTCTGTTTTGTCTGTTTTTGTGACTAACGTTTCTTTAGTATAGCAATAGAGTATAAAAACCAATATAAATTCTCGGTATAGCATTGGACTCTACGATCGGCGGAAGTAATCCAGCATCCTAATGGTGTGTTCACACCGAACGCGAATTTAATTATTTGCGCGAGTAGATTGCATACAAAGTCAATGCAAAGACGCGAATAGACGCATCATTCGCGCCGGGCGTTGCGAATGAGGCGAATTGGGCGACGCGTTTGCCGCGAATGTCTTCCGCGCAAGTTGAACAATTTGAACTCGAGAGAATGTTCAAGCGTCTAACTAGACGCGATAGACGCGTATTTGACGCTCTAAACGCGTTCGGTGTGAACACACCATTAGACCTTCACCGGAAATACCGCCGTGCATAGAGCCCATTCCTATTTAGGGGAATGTTGAGGCAAAAAGCTATTATCTTCTATTGCCTGTAGTCAAAGTTTGGTGACTACTTCTATGTGCAATAAACGTAAAAAGCATGAGTATATTATTTACTCAGATCTCTGAATAGTATCAAATGTTAATAGAATAGGAAGAGGAGGAGGATGTGGGCTGGCACTAAATGCATCATTTCCCATAATTTATTTGAACTACTCATAGCATTTTCTAATAATGGTTCAACTTAAAAGCATGTATTATCTGTATTTTTACATCAAACAAAATGGTGGATTTTTCTTAGTAGCAAATTTCCCATGCACGCGAACAATATGCTAAGTAAACAGCCTGTCAACGTGGTTTATGTGGTTTATGTTGCACCCAATACGCAGAGCTATAACAACAAAAGTGAGTCAACAACAGAAATGCAGTGTGAACTGGAATTACCTGCGCTTCTCCTTTGCCCATAGAGAAGCCCATAGCAGCCAGGCCCGTCTTGAGCTCAGAAACATCCACTTTCCCATCTTTATTAACATCCAACTTCTCAAACAACTCCGCGAAACTTTTCGAGTTGTCCTCCTCCAAACAATGCGAATCGGTGAACACGAATTTCCTTATAAGCTGATACATGATGAACTGCGATATGTCTGTGTATATTGTATATTTTTTCCGCACGGGATCCAAAGATTGCAGGGAAACTGCGGAAGAACAACAGATGTTGCCTAGCTGGCACTGAAGAAAACAGACCCTACCTACGTCTTTGCCCACTATGTCAGATTATCTTAGTCATTCTTTTATTGCCACTATCTCTTGAAACTCAACGCTGTATTATTAATATGTAGGCGTTTCAGACTGAGCTGGGCTAAGAAGGAGGGACTAGAATTACTAGGGTTATTTCCCTGCGGTGCCTTCTCATTTTAGACGGACACACCCAAATGTACACAAGCTCAAGATAGCCAGTTGATGTTTTTTTCCCCTTTTTTTTTTCCCTATTTGACTCACTGAGTCAAGAATTACTTAACAGAGGCTGCATTTAGTAATTCATGCTCAACTTCCCATTTTTCATAGCACCAGCTTGTAATGCATCCTATAGGCTATAGATAGATAGATAGATAGATAGATAGAGGTTCAAAACCTTTTTTACTCCGAATCAAGTCCAAGTATTCTAGTTATTACTTTCCAGCTCCATTTTATTATTTTTTTAAACAAAAGAAATTCAAGATAGATTTAATTTTTTTTAAAAAAAATTTACAAACATAACGTTACATACATACTACTGCAAACAGACATTCTTTACAACTTAAAAGTAACTTAACGTACTCTCAGTTATACAGTATTGGACAAATAAGCACAAGTCAACCTGCAATACCAAACAGGACCACAGGGTGATGCCAAAGGGCTGAATATACGGATCAATTCTGAATTATTAAACAAAATACAAATGAAAAATAAAAACATTCTGAATGTGTGGAAACTCGATGTAATCAGTGAACAGTTCCTCTGATAGAGCAAGCAATCGCATCTGTCTGTTTGGAGCGTCTTATGCCCATGTGTAGGCCTAAACACCAAACGGATCCTCACAAACTTCTCTAAAACACGCTTCTTCGGCGAACATCCGTTATAAAACACTAACAGTACATTCATTTTGACAACTACGCGAATATAGTGAACTGTATTCATGCAGAAATAAGATGTTAAAGTGATCAGTGAGCCGAGAGCGCGCACATTCACGGTTTGTTTGCGCATCAGTAATAACGGATATCGCGCGTGCTGCAATCGTCTTTACCTTCAGTACAATCTTCATCAATCAAAGCTTTATTAGTGACACTGGTTTTCTTTATCCAACTGAGAGATGCAGTTTGCGTATCCTATGTTCATGAAGAGGTTGGGTGTTTTGAGCCGTCGTTCAGCCTGTTTTTTTTTTTTCACACAGCTGATGCTCCGAAACAATCACAGAATTACGAGAGGTGCTTTGTTTTAATTTATTTTTAAAATTAATTTAATTGATATATTTTTATTCACCGTATTAATAATACAAATTAATAAATTATATTAATATATTTGAATTAATTTTAAGTAATCTCGCGGCCCACAGGTTGAAAACCACTGAGATAGATAGCTAGATAGATAGCTAGATAGCTAGATAGATAGATAGATAGATAGATAGATAGATAGATAGATAGATAGATAGATAGATAGATAGAAAGAAAGAATGTGCAATGCATAATTTTGCACAGCTGCAGAAACAAATCCCTAGCTAGATAATCCTAAATATAGCAAGTTACTACTGTGGTCAGATATGAATGAGGTAAATATAGCTTCAAAAGACTGCATAGCGAATTATTATAATTGCAGTACAAGTTTCAGATTTCACGTAGGACATAAATAATAGTTGATGGCCAGAGGAAATTCTGAAACATTTATACTACAGGCTACTGGGATGGGATTACTCTATTACAATGACACGTATGATGTTCAAAACAATCGCTAAACTGTATTTTTCTGACAAGATAATTTTAACAAAAAATATAATGTATATTACATTATATTACAATATTTATATCACACAATAGCCTTATAAAACAAAACATACAACTACACATATCATATGAACTGAAGTGAACACTAGAGGTCCTCCAGTGTGTTCTTCGTTCAGAAGCTGTACTGCACTGTAGCAATTTTACGACAACTGTACTTACATGTGTTGCTTTACGACACACGCATTCGCTTTACGGAATAGTGTAGCATGTCAGAGACTATTGAGCATGTTCACTGATGTTGACGTTTTTATCAGTGGGTTTATGTTCTAACTAACTGCAAGGTTAAGTGTTTATCGTATACGGGTTCTGAAATATTTGTAGATTGTTTCCGAGATGGGAAAGCCGAAAAAGAAGAGTAAGTATTTACTGCTAGTTTTAAGCAGGACGTATTCTGTCAACTTAGCTGCTAAGAGCATGTTGAAATGTCTAATCTTTCATCATCTACTATGACTTGGGTATTGTATGTTTATGAGAATTATATATTTCAGTTTTAATTTACATAAGCAGTTTAGTAATTGTTCGTCACTATTAAAATGACAATGTGCTAAAAAGTTGGCAAAGTTATGTGAATCAATGCACATTTTGAGATTCAAAATCTATTTATCTTTTTGGTTAAGGATGCGTCAATGTGTCAAATTACTCCAAATAGAAAAATGTTGGAATGTGGAATGTGGAAACATGTTGGGTTAGGTGTAAGGTTTATAAACAAAAATTGTTGTAAATATCAATGCTGTCAGTCCATCCTAAGTAACTAGTTCTATCCTTTAACTAGTCCTTAACAGTAGTGTCAGGTGTCTGGATTCATTCTACTGAGACAATAGTTCAGATAGAGATTTGTGTTTCTCTAACATGACCTGTCTGTTTAACTCAGTGCTTTCTGTGTTCACATCAGGTGACTTGAGCCGTGCAGAACTGATGATGATGACAATTGCAGATGTCATCAAGCAGCTGGTTGAGGCCCACGAACAGGGAAAAGATATTAACCTTAACAAGTCAGTGCATTTTAAAGAATAATTTATTTTAATGATAATATTAAAGTCATCATGAAACAATATTAACCATTCTCATTTTTTATGGAATATTACAGTATTTTATAATGATTGATTTATCTGTGCACATCATTCTTTTTTTTTTTTAAATTCATTTGCCCTCATACTCTTTAATCAAAATAACTTCACCTCCCTTTTGCAACTACTACTCTTCTCTGATGATATGTTTACTGTTCCGAGGGCAGGACAACATGTCACTCACATGACATCACAGCAATAGCAAACCACAACGATCCAATCTATTCCAGATAGACAAAATCAAGTCCTGTCCTACATTTTTTCTTGTTCGAGAAACCGCGTCACCCAGATATACGTCACATTCACAATAGGGAAGAAAGGACTATCACAACTTCCTTTTCATGGCAATACGTTTCTAAAACAAAAGTGGAAATGTTTTCTCACTGGATAACTATAAACCAAGTTAGATTGACAGCTAAAATTGTGTCTTTATAGAGTCAAGACGAAGACATCTGCCAAATACGGTCTCTGTGCACAGCCACGGCTTGTGGACATTATTGCTGCAGTGCCGCCTCATTATCGAAGAGCCTTGGTGCCCAAACTGAAAGCCAAACCTATCCGCACTGCCAGTGGGGTAAGGATGGTTTGTTGGCCATTATTTGTTGTGTATTGGTGATGGTGTAAAGATATCATAATGTAGACATGAAATTTGAAACCAGTGCTCAGACTTTGATTTAATATTAATTTGTAGATTGCAGTTGTTGCTGTGATGTGCAAGCCTCATCGCTGTCCACACATCAGCTTCACTGGCAACATCTGTGTGTGAGTATGTCCAAAATAAAGTGTGTGTCTGGGGTCAGTAAGATTTTTTTTTTTGAAAGAAAGAAATGAATACTTTAATTCAGAAAGTGGATGCATTAAGATGGATCAAAAGACATTTATAATGTTATAAAATATTTTTATTTTAAGTAAATTATGTTCTAGTGAATTTTTTATTCATCAAAGAATCCTGAAAAAAAAATTATCACGTTTTCTACAAAAATATTAAAATATTTTTGTGCTGTTTTCAACTGATTATAATGAGAAATGTTTCTTAAAGCTGCAGTCCGGCGTTTTTTCCTCTTTGTCGCCATCTCTGTTAGAAATCTGCATTTTGCAGTCATTCGCGGAATTATCAACTTTACGTGAGTTGTACTTCGACACCCTCGACACGGCACAGCGCGGATGAACACAATGTTTGAGGAGAGTGTGTGGCTGTCAGTCACTGTGCCGGTGTGGATACTGTCATTCGCAATCACAGATTATTCTTTTTGGAAGTATGACCAACATAATAATTTTCACTGGAAAATGTCATCTGAACAAGTAAGAAACACCCACTTTTGTTCTGGTTCTGACATTGCAGTAAATCCCTCTGAATCGCTTATCTTATCACACAAAACCGTGCAAATTATACTTTGTTCCAAATTGTTAATGTTAACAACGTCAGTATTGCGTGACTACATGTAATGTCCTTCCGATATGTATCCTTGTTTTCGCATGGGTCCGGTTGCAGTCTCTTCTTCTGTAGCCACTCCGAAGTCCGAACGAAGTCTTTTGCATTTTACAATGGGTGAATCTGTTGTCACTGGTGATTTGTCGTTTGAACCTTTCTGGATCCGCCATCAAATTGATAAGTTAATTATATCAAGTGCTGTGAGAAAAGGCTATAAATCTCCACCTCCAACATCCTCACACGCAATATAGCCTACTAGCCGAGACTCCTTCTTTATGTGTACAGATGTGACGTAATGACTCAAAGACATGCTCGAATCTCCCGCGGAAATCCACCAGTACCACTGGAATTAAAAACATTATTACAAGCTTACCGCTTTAAATCGAGCTAAGGCAAGCAGATAGTTTTGATCACTGGCTGGTTGTGTATTTTCTCAAAAAAAAGCTACAGACTGCAGCTTTAAGCACCAAATCAGCATATCATAATGGTTTCTGAATGATCATGTGACACTGAAGACTGGAGGAATGACTGCTGTTCAGCTTTGGCATCACAGGAATAATGTACATTTTAAAATGTATTAAAATAGAAAACAGTTATTTTAAATTCTAATAATACTTCACAATATTACTGCTTTTACTGTGTTTTTGACCACATAAGAGACTTCTTTCAAAAACAAAAATCTTACCGACCTCGAACAGTAGTGTACATTTATTCATTCAGCTCATGCGTTTATACAAATAAGCAATTCTACACAAGCTATTCATTCAGCTGCCTTGAACCTTTTACAATGCAGATTCCATGTGGACTTGCATCTGGTTCAAGCTATTAGCATTGTGTGTCAGTTGGTGGGGAAACTTTAATTAGCAGGATATAATGATAAAACTGGTCTCAGTTTTGATTGAATTTGATGTAGTGTGTTTTTGTTTTCATTTGCTCAAACAGCTACTGCCCAGGGGGTCCGGACTCAGATTTTGAATATTCCACACAGTCTTACACAGGATACGAGGTAATTATCCATCTGTCTCCCAAAGCAATGCTATCACGCATATTTTTATGAGTTTCGCACTAGTGTCATGCAGTATGCTTCATTTTGACTGTCTATTCTCCCTCTTACCTAGCCCACGTCAATGAGAGCCATCCGTGCACGATATGATCCCTACCTCCAGACTAGGCATCGAGTAGAACAGGTGAGTCATCTTCATAGCTCATGTTTATCAGCTGCTTTCTGAGCATTGTGCAGTTAAAATCATAAGTGATCATTACATACTACTTAATGGTTTTGATTTTACGGTTTAGATCTGGAGGGTTGATGATCCTCTCAGCTTTTCTACTCATTTAGATGGTGTTAATGACATTACGCTGCTGTGTTTGCACATCTAGCTCAAGCAGCTGGGTCACAGCGTGGATAAAGTGGAGTTCATTGTGATGGGAGGCACATTCATGGCTCTGCCGGAGGAATACAGGGACTATTTCATCCGTAACCTCCACGACGCGCTGTCAGGACACACGTCCAACAACGTCACTGAAGCTGTCAGGTACCTGCGCCCCATGATAAACTTGTCTGAGTGATAGAATCAGGCCACTCTTAATTATGATAGTCCCAACACAAATTTACAGGGCCAGGAGAGGGCCAGAAACAGTCCATCACCAGTGGGTGCTATGCCTTAGGAAAGACAACAATCTTTTTGTCGTAATGTACTTGTGTTTGTAAGAATTAGAACGTAAGAATTAATAATTTCTCTTATTTGTCATCAAATGTTGCTTGAAATCAAGGTCGATTCGGTTCAATTTTTTTAATTTATTTTTTTTAACCGAGACCTATTACACCCCCCTAGCTGATATACAGTATATATATATATATATATATATATATATATATATATATATATATATATATATATTTATATATATACTGTATATACAATATATTAACCAATAGATAGATGTAGATAGATAAAACTTGATTGCACAATGCAGGTACTCAGCAACAAAATGCAGTTTAGCATCTACTAGTGCAAATAGTAGCATTATATCATAATATATATATATTATGTAATAACATAATAAATATTATATTATGATATATCATGAATGCCTACTCACATTTTCTTCAGAAGTAATTATACATAAATGTTCTTGTCTTTAACCCATTACACAAATGGTCCAATCAGTCGATAAGTGCAGAAGTTAGATAAAAGTAGAGGGATTGGAGCAGCTGTTGTCTTATTATGCGTGTCTGTGGAAAATCACTAGTTAAAAAGCTCTGACCTGGGATCAGTGCTTTTTGCTGTTGGATAATTTAAGTCTATATTAGCAAAATGAACAAATGCAGCTCTTGGATCAGTTAAAGCACTGCGCCAAAACCCCCTGGTGAGCAAATTTGGTAGGGTGGCAGTGTTGGGAGGAAGAGATGGTGCTTTTGGACTGGTCTTCCACTGTCAGAGCAGCTGCATTGGCTCTGCTTTCTGACTAGTCACAGAACAATAAGACAGAATGTGGAATTTGGGCTCTGTTTAAATGATGAAGACAAGATAAAGTATGTTATTAGTCACATCTCCTGATATGTTATTTAACAGTTTAGCCGTCATTAACTTGGTTAACCAAGCAAATAAAAGCCTTCTTTTCACTTTGACCATTAGTCTAAGACCATTTAAATAAGTGATGTATGTGATTTCTGTGCTACCACTAACAACACCAAACGAAACTGAAAAAATATTTTATAGTTTTTTTAATATATTTGTCAAGATTTTTCATAAAACCTATTTGCATCAGTTTTGGCAAAGTGGTGACTCAGACGCTGTTGACCACCCCGGTGACATCAGCTCCATAAGGAAGGCAAACGTTTTGAAGTTAGAATAAAAGGCATAGGAGATGATTGCAAGATGTGGATAGACTGCCACTGCAGGGCGCTGTTAGTTTATTACTGCGTTTTTGTTATTTATTTTCTTGATAGGAGAGAGTGTGTATGTGTGTGTGTGCACGTAGGCAGAGGTCCACAGAATTGTCGGCACACCACAGCTTATCAGCGGGTTTGTTAAGATGACACGATTGCCATAATTGTTCCGGCGGCTAATCAGCCAGAGATGGGGGAGACAACAGTTCGATTTCAGGCACATTGCTTATCTTAGGTGCGTGTGTGTGTGTGTGTGTGTGTGTGTGTGAGAGAGAGAGAGAGAAAGAGAGAGAGTGAGTGAGTGTGTAAGGGAGAGAGAAATAAAAAGAATAAGTACAAATGTGAAACACTGTGTTGGTTTCATAACTACATTGTCTAAAATCTGGAGCAAGAAACAGGAGCTAAATGGACAGAAAGAGTTTTTGGGCTATTAAATGTCCATTAAAACTTTAGAACTATGTCAGGCATGACAGGAAGCCAAAAACCACACATTTCTGAATTATTATTAAATTGATGCAAGCCAATTGAAGCCAATTCAGTCGTTAAATAGTTTTCATATTATCATCAGAAACTATTATAGGAATATTATTTCTTTCCATTTTATCCTGCGTTCAGTTAGACTTTCACAGAAAGTAAAAAAAAAAAAAAAAGCCATTTTAAAAATAAAAATAGGTTTTTGTTTGTTGAAGGGTTCTATCATACATTACACACGTAGTAATTTATTTATATATATATATATATATATATGTATACACACACATACACGCGCACACACACACACACTCTGCTACAAAACAGTATATATAAATATAGCTAGAATACTAGAATATATAAATATTAATATAATTATAATAAATTGGTAACACTTTACAATAAGGTTCAACAAACAATGAACAGTTGGATTTGTATTAACTAATGTTAACAAAGATTAACAAGAACAGTAACAAATGTATTGCTCATGGTTAGTTCATGTTAGTTAATACATTAACTAATGTTTAATAAATATACCTTATTGTAAACTGTTACCAATAAATTATTATTATTATACACACACACCATTCAGAAGTTTGGGATCAGTAAAATTTTTTATGTTTTTAAAAGTTTTATTTTGGGTTTTTTATGTTGTATTTGATCAAAATACAGTAAAAACACAAAGGTTCTTATAGTTTGAAATACTGTTTTTCATCTGAATATATTTTCAAATGTAATTTATTCCTGTGATGCAAAGCTGAATTTTCAGCATCATTACTGCAGTCCTCAGTGTCACAATCCTTCAGAAATCATTATGATATGCTGATTTGGTGCTCAAGAAACATTTCTTATTATTATCGGTGTTGAAAACAGTTGTGCTGGGTAAAACATTTTTCTTAGGATTTAGCATTTGTTTTCAAATATAATATTTTGTAACTTTTTTTAATGTCTTTACTGTGACTTTTGATCAATTTAAATTGGCATCGTTAATCGTTCCTATTTATTTCTTTAAAAAAAAAAACATACATATTATACATACACACATATATAATATAGTATCCACATTTTTGAGTTGATATTTATTTTTTCTCAGGTACTCTGAACGCAGTAACACCAAATGTGTCGGCATCACGATTGAGACCAGACCGGACTACTGCCTGAAGAGACACTTGAGTGACATGCTGGCCTACGGTTGTACCAGACTAGAGATCGGCGTACAGAGTGTTTATGAGGATGTGGCTCGTGATACCAACAGGTCAGAGTTGGTTGCTTTTATTATGAAGGACTTTAAAGGAAGGATCTGTAGAGTAGAAAATGAGTGTTTGGTATTTGTATAAACTTGATCCTGGGATGTTAATTAGCCTAACATCGGTGTTAAGACTTCCAGTGAATAATTTCGTTCCTACAGTTTCTGACTCATGTTGGTTATTGCAGTTTACTCGCTTGATTACGTGTCATTTAGGAATCACTTCAAGGCATTAAGAGACTTATCAACTATGCTAATTACACTATACTTACACCCATTGGTGTTGTTGTAAGCACTTTGCTAAAGGACACAGTGGGAGTTTACCAGTTAGCTTTTTAGCAGGACAGATCTTAAACCATAAGCCTCAAATGAGATCTTTCTAGATCTATATCAGATTGTTCAAATGAAAATCATGATTAATTGGAAAATCTTCTTTTTTTTTTTTTTTACCCAGTTGTATGAACATACAAAATTCATTCCTACAAAGCTTAGGATGATATTCCATTTGTAACTGCTTGTATCTTTTTATATTGACTCTATGTTCTTTTTTCTAGGGGACATACAGTTCGGGCTGTGTGTGAATCTTTTCAACTTGCTAAGGATGCTGGTTTTAAAGTTGTAGCCCACATGATGCCAGACTTACCCAATGTCGGCATGGAAAGAGACGTGGAGCAGTTTATAGTGAGTACTTCCTAGATCATTTTAATTCTGCAGCATTCATCTCTAAACTCTGGCACCAAACATAATCTAAGAACAGCAAAATGATTAAGAGTGAGCTAAAGTAAGGAATCATTGAATGCAATTTTGGGTATATTACTTTTTTACTGGTCAAAATGTTTGGTGTGAAAATACTCAGTAGAAGACAAATCTTATAGAGATAGTTCACCTACATCATTTACTCATGTTCCAAGCCTGTATGACTTAATAATAGTAATATTAAATGTTTCAAATCAGCATATTAGAATAATTTCTGGAGTAATGGTTGCTGAAAATTCAGCTTTGCCATCAGAGAAATAAATAACATTTTAAAATATAAAAGAAAACTGTTGTTTTAAATTGTAATAATATCTCACATTAATATAGTTTTTACTGTATTTTCGATTAAATAAATGCTGCCTTGGTGAGCATAAAAGACTTCTTTCAAAAACATAAAAAAAAGTTTCCAATACCAAACTTTTGAACTGTAGTGTATATTTATATATGCGCAACAAGACATGTCACGACAGGTTTGATGATGTCAAATGTCACTTTGAATATCAACGGGTGAGATTGTCATTGAATAACAACTTAAATTTTAGTCTGTTCCTCACAAATTTATTGTATGCTTTCATAAGACGTGTAATATAGTTCACAAGTAGTATGGACTACATCTGATACATTTATGGTGATTTTTTGTGTGACTTTTTGACATTCGGCTAAATGTTTCCTTTGTATAACAAGAATAATTGTTATCCCCTTGAATAAAGAAAGTCATGCAGGTTTGTTACAACTTGAGGGTGAGGAAATTATGAAAATAATAATAATTTTAAGATACTTTCAAAATTCTTACTTTAATAATCATGTTTGAAAGGATTTCTTCAAATAAGGCTCAAACATGCACTTCAAATGGATTATGGGAAGGTTTGTAATTTAAGGTCCTCATACTTATTACTGTTTATTCTGTAAGCTCTTTTAATGTAAATGAACTGAGGAGCCGAGAGACAGACAACTGATTCCTCAATCCTCGCGCACAGGTTTATCTCTGCATACCTCACAGGTTGCGCAGATGGTTTACAAAATGTCATTTTCATCAACTAAAAGAGCCCAATTAATCAACGTTTCTGTGAAATAGCTGTTGGGGTATCCAAAATTTCCATATCACTTTCAGGTGCTCTATTAATTTTGACACTCAAAGTAGAAGGAACTACTGAGTCATATTCATCATCAAGCAGACTGCCCAGAGGTATTAGGAGAAATGTTGCTCCTTTAGAAAAGTTTGAAGTAATAATAAATAGTGAAATGAAATTGTTTTTCATATCACACAGCCCTAGGTTACAATGCGAATAGGCAAACAGAGGTTATACACGAGACGTACAGTACAGGAACACCATAACACGACTATCCCAAAGAAAATGTCACTATTATTGGGTGCAGTAGCTAATTGTCACATAGCGGGAATGATGGGTGAATGTAAATGAAGTGGGGAGTGACGTGCCATGGCAGGCTGCTCTTTTATGGCCTCTGTCAGTGTCCAGCTGTGACGCATTGGTTCACATTATCAGGGGCTTCATTATATGAAGTGAATAGAGCATTCATTATGGTGGGTTTCATTACCGAGGCATGGAGATCCAATCAGTGACTGCGCTCTGGAACCCATTCAAAGTGCGTCTCTCTGAAAGACTGTATTAAACACCAACCGGGAGCAATCCAGGTGCCAACAGGTTTCTTTGATGTCTTAAGCGAACACTGTCAGTGCACGATCTCTGGAGTTTAGCGATTTTAAAGCAGGTGATTATTTCCCATTAGGAGAACATAAGAGCCTAGAATGAAGCGAGTGACATTAATGTTGCATAAGAAACATCATGATTAACTGAGTGCAATTATATAAATAATATTTTGCATTAACAGTTACATAAATGCCACTTAACTGTTGAAGAGAACCATTAACTTTTTATTGCAAATAATCCAGTCTCTAGAGTCTATGAAGGCATGCGTGCGTCTCTTAAGCTAAAAGTCTTTTACATTGTTGTACCAAGCCAAGCCCACATTACACCTACCTCATTTCCCCTTGGGAGGCTCTTACTCGCCTCCACACTGCTGCAATCAAATGATAGCTCCAAAATATTTGGACAGCAACACCTTTTGTACTCTATTTGTACAATTTGTAATTGTAGTATTGCAATTAGAGCCTAAAAGTGAAAAACAATCTACTTTATTTTAAAATATCCTATTTTTTTGTGGGATTTTTTTTGTGTCCTCTTAATGTTAGTCAAAGTTTCTTGTACCAAAAAACAGAGAACCATATAAAAGAGGTTTTTTTACAAGAGCTCTTAATAGTGTAATAAGTGTCTGCTTCTTTTTGTCACAGCTCACAAGCTCAGGAAAGTCGCCAATAAAGGGTTTGGGATTTTACTGAACAATCGTTTGTGCATCTTTGCCGTTCCATGACATTTATTTATCTGGTAGTGATACAGATAAGATGATGAATTATTTTCATGTTATGGCTGTTAACCGATAAATTGGCAATATTAAAGTTTATTACCATTTTAGATAAATAAATTAAAGATACAATTTATTTAAAATGCTAAATCATTTAAAAGTTCATTTAAGCATCACATTATGAAAACTGTATAAAAATGAATATTCATTCTGAGATTGGCTAAAGATTATATTTAGCAATGTTTATTCAATTATTTTATCAAATTATGATATTATTATTAGTAAAATTTGTATTTTTGTACCCTCTGCAGTTAAAGGTTCTCTAAGCGATCCTGGGTGACGTCACTTCTTGTTGACGTTCGAACTATTGTCAAACAAAACAGAGGCTAGCTAGACCCTCCCTCCTCCTCATCCGCACACTAACCCCCCAAACCCTTCTTGTCGGTCATTGGCTGGAACAGTTTGTTATGTTTCGGGGAGCGGTTAGCCGGAGTTTGTTTTTGTTGTTGTTTGTGGAGCCTGGACTGTCTACAGAGATCGCGTTTCTTTACAGTGTGTTCAGGGGACAGGCAGCCAGCGGATAGTGAGGAGATGTTTGCTGTATGTGACAAAAAATGTTTTGGCCTAAAAAACGTGTGACATCGCTTAGAGCACCTTTAAGCACAAAAGACCCCTTCTTCTCGGTAGATTTGGGTCGGCCTGACCATATCCCTGCAAACCGTTCAGTGTGTTCGTTAGCAATAAGTTCTTGTCATTTGGTTTTCCACTTCATATTTCTGACCATGTTGTTGCTTTGTAATAAGGAAAATGAAACGTTTGTACATTGTACGAGCACCCATATGAAGCACAACTGCACATTTTTGACTATAATTGGCTCATTGCTTGCCGATCTGCCTCCTAATTCCTTCTGCGTTTTATTGGGATCCGTTTCATGCATAAATTTGAGTGTATAGCGAGAGAGAGAGATTAATGGCTCTGGAAGGTGGTCTCTGACCCCACCGCTATCAGCTCCCCTCCTCCGCCACCGTGTGCCCACACAACCTCACCTGTGTCACCCACCGGCACCACTCGGCTGGTTTATCTCACCTAACCTGCTTTCTCTGATGCTTGTGCTTTCCTCTTCCCCTCCCACTTCCGTATTTTCTTGCTCGCTCGCTCGCTCTCCGTCACGCCTCTCCCCACCTTTCAATACGGGGACCTGTCGGCGCTATCTCAGGATGAGTGTGCGGTGGAAAGGAGCGTGGCTTGGTGATAATGGAATCCCATTACTGGCTCGTCCAACTCTCACTTCTCACTTATCTGACTGTGTGCAGGCTCCCCTCCCTACATAAAAAAAAAATAACACTCAGCGTAAATATATCACACAAAGACTCATTTCATTTGACTCTTAGAGTAAGGAGAAGCTCAAACCGCAAGGATAGTCGTGACTCGAGTAATCCATCATTTCAGTTTGCCTTTGAAAGGCAACTATTTTGATTGTTTGCACTATTTAGAGTTGCTGTTTAGTTCAGACCCATGCAGCCTTTGTTTAAATGCACCAGTGTCAAGTCTGATGATTCGCTAGTATGTCAGGAAGTCGGACAGTTCCAATTAAATGACCATTGGCATTGTCTCTTTGATTGTAATGGTTTCGTTTTTGAGTGTGCTGCGTGAACCCTGAGGTTTTCAAAGTGACTGGGACAAAACAAAATCCCAGCACTATTACGTGTTAAGTAGCAGACGTAAGCAGGATCAGTGACGGAAGTCATGAGTCTTTATTTAGCCCTTTACCAATTCTTGAACTCTTGAATGATGTTATTTTCCAATTACGTTTATGAACTTTAGGTGAAATGAATCGGTAGACTTTGCATCACAAGTATGTAGCAAGAGCACAAAGCCTACCAGCATGCAAGCTGAAAAAGGTTTCTAAATGCTATGAAGAGATCTTCAGTGGCAACCGTTTGGAAAAAGATTAAATGTTTGATAACTGGTAAAAGATATCTTTATTATTGTGTGCTATAGTGAGTTGTGAAGTTTGTGAAGTCTTTATCATGAGTGGGTTAGAGCCGGCAGATGCCACTAATTATAGTGCAGGGTGACTGATATTATGCCTATATATTATAAATAATTTAGTTAATGATGGCAAATAAGCTATAAAACTTGCATTATAAGAAGTTACATTATACAGTATATTGTACAAAACTGCTTAAATTAAAAACATATTTTACACAATATTTACTTAGAATTCAAAATGTTTTTATGCATGGCATTTATTTCTCTTTAGTGCACTCATTACTGGTCCTAGTCTCATGTTAGCACAAAAACATCTCTTGTCTCTGTCCCTCAGGAGTTTTTTGAGAACCCTGCGTTTAGACCAGATGGGCTCAAACTTTACCCTACGCTGGTGATTCGAGGCACTGGACTGTATGAGCTGTGGAAAACGGGCCGCTATAAGAGCTACTCTCCCAGTGCGTTGGTGGATCTGGTAGCACGAATACTAGCCTTGGTCCCACCATGGACTCGTGTGTATCGTGTACAGAGGTAACAAGGACTTAACGTTAGTTTTCTAGATACTACCTTTCAAAGTTAGAATTGACCTTTGTTAAAGGGCGGTCACTCTAGATCTTGTATTTCATTAGAAATGTAGGAGAGTAAATGCACAAATGTGAATTTTCCATCTGATTATTAGCCGATATTAAAATCTACATGGTACTGATGTGTCATGCATCCCTAATTTATTATTTATTCAAAACAGAAGCATTTCCTGCTGCCCAAATTCACTGTAGTGTGACCATTATTTAGTTTTTAAACGGCTTTGAAGAAGCTAATAATCTGTGCCCTTTTTCAGGGATATCCCCATGCCATTGGTGAGTTCTGGGGTGGAACATGGAAATCTGAGAGAGCTGGCATTGGCCAGAATGAAAGACATGGGCACTGAGGTAACCTAACATCTTTAATCATTTAATTTGTTTGCCGTATGAATTCAAGGCCATTAATTGCAAAGCATGTTGTTGACTCCTGCAGTGTAGAGACGTCCGAACCAGAGAAGTGGGCATTCAAGAGATTCATCACAAAGTTCGACCATATCAGGTCGAGCTGATCCGCAGAGACTATGTGGCTAATGGGGGCTGGGAGACCTTCCTGTCTTATGAGGACCCCGAGCAGGACATTTTAATTGGTCTCCTGCGTCTTCGTCGCTGTTCACCACAGTCCTTCCGGCCCGAGTTGAAGGGTGGCGTGTCCATTGTTCGGGAGCTGCATGTCTACGGAAGCGTGGTCCCTGTCAGCAGCCGAGACCCAAGCAAGTTCCAGCACCAGGTAAAGACACCTTATTTCCGCCAGTAACACACGGCAGAAACTGCTTTGACATGATTCGACATTAATGATGTCTGATGCCTGTTACCTCGTGAAGGTCTCATTACCAAAACCTTGAATTTAAATAAGATTTGCAAGTATAGTAGTGTGCAATATTCATCTATTTTGGTTAGATTATCTGCTTCTATTTATTCCTATATGCACCTACTAATAGGATTTTTCAGGAGTTGCGGTATCATTTCATTTACATTAATGATGGTTAAGGGTATGTTCACACTTGGCAGGCTTGGTTCGATTACAGCGAACTCTGGTGCAATTGCTCTGTTTATTATAGTTCATTTGAATAAGTGTGAATGCTGCCATCCGAACCCAGGTGTGCACCAAACAAGCGGACCAGTCCTCTTCCAAACAAACTCTAGTGCGGTATGACTGAAATATGAATGCAACACTGACCGAAAGACATCAAAACAAACCAAAAAGAGGACGTGATGTCACAATATGTGACCCTAAAAGGGACATAATGCTCAAGCATTCCTAGCATATGATTTTTCTCGTCATATGAGCTTACGTTGCCTGTAACAGTTAGGTACAGGCATTGGAACCACGTCTCCTTGCAGCAGATCTCATCATTTGTGTGTGTAACAGAGGAATTCCTGGCACTGTTTTGACTCCTTTACACAATTTATAAGCTCTTCATGAGCTTGTATATATATATAAATGGATGGAGAAGCATAAGTTACTGTAAAGCTACGTCTTAGTTTGTGCTTATCTTGGCGAAAGCCGAGTACAAATCAGCACGAAGTTTTAACATCTACTCAGGCCAGCTGACAGTCTTGCCTGAGCCCGGGACAAGATCTTAGATAGCCCCCCCCCCCCCCCCCCCCCCCCATTTTTTTATATATATAAAACACCATATACTTTTACCCAAACTGAATAATAAAAACACGTTTAAATGGGTACATTTTCTATAAATGTCTTCATTTTCTTTTCTAACATAGCCTACTGCAGCTCTTGTTAAAACACACTAGACATGCAAAATCTGTGCATTTGGGCACTTTTTGTGTGAAATCATATTTATTTTTTTGTCCATCAAAACTATGCTTTCACTTTTAATTAAGCATGAGCAGCGCAGCAAAAATAGACTCGGATCTGGCCCATTATCTGTTCACCGATGCCGACAGTGACGCATTTCAGCCGGCTTTTTATTTCTCATCTCCATAAATATATCTAGTAGTAAAGCTAATGCAAGGGCTAGAAATCAATGAATTCTTTGCTAAAACTTCCTCGTCATCATGGAGATCGCAGTTCGCACCGCTTTCTCCTTTCCACAAGCGCTTGCTCTCCCGTGGCGTCTGTCGTTGCTATGCAACAATGAAAAACGAGCGCGCCGCGGCTATTATGAGCTAATATCCTAAATATTTCCATATGTGGCTCTTTCCTCCTTTCTTATCAACAAGTGGATTTACAACCACCACATCAGCAGCACCGCCGGTCGCCATGTCTCAGCGCTTTTATGAAGATGACGCAACTGCACGCGCTTCAGGCATGCACGCGCATCAAGTACCGGGTTTGAGAAAAATCTCTCAAATAGGGGTGTTCTTGACCACTATTTCAAGGACAATTAGGAAGAAAACAAATAAAAAGCTTTTATGTAACTCAAATATTAGATTTTTTTTCCACAAATATGCATATTTTATTTATTTTTTAACAATTATTCCATAATTTAATGAGGGCCCAGTTCTGGGCCCCCCCCTTACCCTGGGCCCGGGACAACAGACCCGTTTGTCCCCCCCTGTCGGCGGGCCTGCATCTACTCTCGTGTAATGGAAATCAATTATATTATATTTTATATTACAATTATATTATATTATATATATTGTGTATATTGTATATATATATATATATATATAAAACCTTTCCTCTGGTGTGAGAGCTGAAGATAAATGTGTACATTGCCCAGATTTGTTTATTTTATTTTTATTTAAGGCATATTTCTTCATGTATTGTATATAGTCTCCCTGACTTGCTTTCTCATATGTTCTCTTTCGCCTCGTGCATTTGTAGGGTTTTGGGATGATGTTGATGGAGGAGGCCGAGAGGATAGCCAGGGATGAGCACGGCTCGGGCAAATTGGCTGTTATCTCAGGTATCAAAAATATTCTCAGCGTTAACGGAAATGGCGCTTTCATTTTGTTGGGTCTTCTCTTGCCCTCGCTTGAAAAGAATGAATAAGACATTTTGACATGCACCTCCCCAAATAAGCTGCAGGATGGAGATAACAGCAATTGGAAAATAAATGAAAATCTGCATTCACATTATTCTGGCTCTGATAATTTAATGCATGTCTGACAAAGTAAAGCATCAACAGTAGAGTATATTGGAAATACAGTGGGGTTCAAAAGGCTGAGATCACACACATTTAAAGCAAGAAACAGTAAAATTACAATAAAAATAAATGTTTTTAATCTATATGGCATCATTGAAACACAAATTATGTCTCTCACTAGACATAAAATAGTGATATTCTTTTTTGCTTCAATCAGAGCAAATTCATTAGTATCAAGATATACATTGATATTACAATAAAAAAATACTTTTCTGTTTAAATATATTTTACAATTTTCAGCTTCATTACTCTAGTCTTCAGTGTCACATGATCTTTCCGAAATCATTCTAATATGCTGATTTGGTGCTCAAGAAACATGTATTATTATTATCAATGTTGAAAACTGTTGTGCTGCTTAATATTTTTGTAGAACCGTGATCTATTTTTTTTTTATTCTTTGATTAATAGAAAATTTATTTGAAATATAAGTCTTTGTAACTCCTGTGGTGTTCCACAGGGGTCAATTTTAGGCCCCAAATTGTTTATCCTATACTTAAATGACATGTGTAAATTATCAAATGATCTAAAGTTTACTATTTTTGCAGATGATACAAATATTTTTGGATGTGACTTGCAGCAGATGGTGGAAATGGTCACTAATGAAATGAATAAATTAAAATTCTGGTTTGATTCAAATAAGTTATCCTTAAATTTGAGTAAAACTAAATTCATGATATTTGGAATCCGCACTATTAATACATATGTTAAATTAGTAATTGATAACAAATCAATTGAAAGAGTCTATGAAAATAAATTTATAAAAAGAATGGACTGAACAATAACATCAAACAGAGTCATAATATCATTCAATTCAAAAATAGATTTAGGAAATGATTATTGGACCAATACAGAAATTAATAGACCTATACTTAGGAATGGAATTGTAATTTAAAAGTATTGTTGTATATTGTTGTAAGTTATTGTAAGACCTGAAAGATTATATGCGGTAAGTGCATATCTATTTAAGTTGTATTAATATTATTTTGTGAAATAAGGGGCAGGATTAAATGAGCTATTTGCTTCCGCCTGCTCCTTCTCGAACTAATCCTTTTATTATTATTTTTTTTATTTCTTTGTTGTTAAATTTTGATTGTGTTGTATTTTGTGGTTTTAAAATTTTGTTTTGCTGATTGTTCGAGATAAATAAATAAATAAATAAAATAACATTATAAAAGTCTTTACTGTTACTTTTGATCACTTTAATTCATCCTTGAAAACTAAAAGCATTAATTATTTAAAAAAAAAAAAAAAAAAACTTTTGAACTGTGTATATTGTTTAACCCAATTCAATAGTATTCAAAAGCATGTTAATACAATGTTATTTTTTATTGCTTTTTCAAATGTTCATGTTTTATTCCAAATAACATTCTCCATGGTGCCTCCATTAGAGTATGTAACATTGAAATAAAAAGGTTCTTTTCTACAATAATTCTACATTTTTGGTGTTTCAGGTGTCGGAACGAGGAATTACTACAGAAAAATGGGTTATGAACTGGAGGGGCCGTATATGGTGAAAAACCTTTACTGAAGCAGAGAGGAATTCAAACCAAGATGCATCATATTCCCTGGAGAATTTCGTCTGACATGCAGGACACTCACTTTAAGGGCATCTTTACCCCCTGTCAATAATTGGACTGGGCATGAGGACTAGAGAGGGTGTATGTGGTCAGCACAAAGCAAACTGCACTATTCTGCTACATGCCAGCCAAAGAGTTTTCTGTATGTGTTTTGTCATGAAGACCATGATGCAAGTATCAGTGCTTGTTAGAAAGGTACACCATTCTCCCTTGGCCTTAGCTCCCATTTTACAGAGTTCTCTCTCCAGTAGTGCATTTACTTATCTGGGTTAACACTCATTATTTTTTCGTCACGTTATTTTCGGTTTCTACTGACAACATTGGACATAAAAGAACTGCGGAGGCTCTCAGCTATCCCGCTATGAAAGCCCACATTTTTCTTGTGGATTTGGGAGGGAGAAATAATGTATGCTTGCAGCTTAGCACATTTGATTAATCCGCCATTTTTCCTGTTCTGTTAATTTTGAAGATGGATTAATTGCATTTTCATGTTTTCTTGGCTTTGCATGAAAAGTGTTCATCTGGCCATTTTTTATTGTTAATAAAAGATATTTATCCGGGATTTGAGTTATCACATGATTGTACATTGTCATAAATCGCATGTTGGCATGAAGGCAGGCGATTTGGATGAAGTTGAATAGACATAATACAGCCATCACTGAACATTCAAAAGAATTAATGAGTAAGAAATCATCTGCGGTGGTCTCCTGTCCGGCTCAGATATGAAAAACTGTCTCCAAAATGATTGAAATTCAATTGCCTCTATTTTTGACAGAATGAAAAGTCCATTGGAACTACTCTGCTGCGTTTTAGTGTCTGTCACCACACTACCAATTTCTGAGAAATGCCGTCTGGCGTGGCGAGACTCTCCTCCGCAGGAGACCTCATGACTGTCTGCTGATGGGTTTTTACTGCTTCATTTGACATCGCAATACCCGATTATATCGCTATCTCTGCCTGTGAGTCAAGGTGTCAGGCGAATGATGACCGACTGCGCTTTAAAGCTAAGTTCAGTCAGATCACACTTGTAAGAGGTTTGTCATCAGAGAAATGGCTTCCAATAAACGGCATGATGTTGTTTTGCCACCACCCCACAATAAAGTGATGATTTAACAATCGTTGATCTCGTAATTTCCCAGCACAGACCCTTTGTTGTGACTTTAATGGCTTAATAATAACCTCACGGTTAAAACAATGAACAGTGGCACTGTGTCCGTGTCATCGTACACTCCAATCAGCAGCTTTCACTAAATCTCAGGAAGTTTTAACTAGACAATACCATACTGGATTTTGCTAATTAAGCTGGATCATTGCGGTCATTATTCCTCGTGAGTGAAGTCTTACCAATGCAGAATTAATACTGATGTAGCCAAGATGATGACCTCATGATAATGTGCATATTTCGCCACCGAGGTCAGGATGAGCCATCGCAGTGTTTCATTTGCAAACCAGCGATGCGTGAGGAAAAGGGCAAAGTGTCTCTAGAGATGGAAATGTCACAGATGAGATCCACTTAGAAGGATTCTCAGATGCATTATATTATTGCCGGTGAGGCTGTAAGGTTTTGAAACCCTCTGTGACCCTTTAACACTCTTTAAAGTCATTAATATTCAGGTTTGGCATTATTATTGGCTTTCATCAACTCAACATTGAAGTTAACTGCTTTTTGGGTTGATCACAGAGATTTGTCAAAACAAATCTGCCGATTTACTCTCTTACAGAAGGTTTTTCATTTTCTAGACCTGAAAACTATTGAACACAACTTTAAATCCAGCAGCCACAAATCATTTATATCCATCACAAAGGGAGACTTTAATTTCCTGTAAAAGATGGAGCACCTTCCCAAACCAAAAAGCCATTTGATGCATCCTGCCATGTGCACACACAAAAACCCAACTACAAGACTGGCCACTAAACCGGCAGAAACAGGCGATCTGAATGATTGATACGTGTGCCATCTTTCACAGATACACATTAAAGGGAAACCGAATTATTTCCCCTCCTATCTAGATGTTGTACTTGCGCCACCAACTGAGAAACTTCAAAGGATTCAGTCATTTTGACTTTCTATAATTACACTGTCGCTTCAAGGTGGCGATTTGTGGTGTGACCGTTCTGAATGTGCCGTTTCTCGTGTCTTGCTGCATCTGACAACACGACTGAAACTGATTATGACTGACTATCCTTATAAGCATGAAGGCTGTTATGTATTCTACAGATAAAGCAAGTTTGGATTTGGAAAAGATGTTCAGACAATACTGTATTGTTGCACTTGTTTTGTATTCTTTAGTAGTCTTTAAATAAATACATAAAATAACACTTTAATCAATGAAAACACCACAAAAGAGAGCAAAAACAGTTATATTAATAGGGCTGCAAGATATTAAAGAAAAACGCAATGATACTGTTTTAAGTGTGTAAAATTAAATTAAACCTGAAAATGATATAAACAACATGTTTTAAGTTCTATCTGAGAAAAGAAAGCTTCACTGAATGTGAACAGCAGTGTTTACAGTGGAATTGCATAAAAAACATTTTCAGCAATGTAAACAATTAAAAAAGCACCAACTTTTTGCCAGGTATATAGTTATATCAACTTTTTGAAGTATTAAAATCATTGTTATCTCAAGCCGTTGCGATTTGTTCAGTTGCAAAGTTTCAATATATTGTGCAGCCCTATATACTATACAAATAATTCATAAAGCATCATATAGTAACAGATACACAGCACTAAATGAAAATGCAAGGAAAGTAACACATAAATATATATTTTTTTAAAGTCTCAATTTCCAACAGGATGAACAGTGCTGTTCGATAACTTTTATTGGCTTCATATTCAAGTTTTTCAGTGTACAAAGTAGGCTGGTTGTTAGCATGCTGCTCTGAGATCAGTAGGTCAGTGCAGCTCTATGGCTCGCCGGACCCTCTTCTCCAGCTGGTCAGCAGTGGGCCGGGTGTCAGGGTCAGAATCTAGCATGTCCAGCAGTAGCTCGCACATAGCGTGGTTTAGAGGTGGCGGCAGTGGTGGAGCACGTCTTGACCTCATAGGGATGGTCAACTGCAGGTCTGGATTCTGACTCAGCGCTTCACCTAACGGGGTGAGCCAGCGGCCTCGCATTACATATGCACCTAGAGCGACAATAAACAGGAAACGTTGTTATGCTTAATCAGGAAATGTTATGCTTAATCAATTTTCAAGCATTTTGTGAAACAGGTCCTTCATTCATTACTGTGTGTGGAGTTTGCTTTGATCTCCCAAACGCTGCATTTGAATTTGCCCTGTTCATTATAACAAACAGATGCATTTTTTCCACGCACAACTTGCCTAGTACAAATTCATTATTATTCACAAAACTTCAAGGCATACCCACCACACAGAGTGGAAAGATGTTAATTGCCCTTATATAAATAAGCTACAACATTTGACCTTTTTGTTTGCCTGCTAGCAGCACAGAAAGTCGCTGGGTCCGAGTAATTACTGAGGACTGCCTGAATAGCTTATGCACTTCATCCACAACCTGCGTCCTCAGACCACTTTACATTATCTCAGCTATTACGCATTAAGTTAATGGGCTACTATATCAAGCACTCAACAACAAAACTTTCTCACCAATATAAAGTGGTCCGGATGAGGGAAGTAGTAAGAGGAGTAACCAAAATAGCCACCTGCCTGCCAATGCTAGTGAAACGAGGCTCTGAAAATTGGGAGAATTTATATTCCTGTTCCTATTTTTATTCCCTTTCCTGTGAAGTAGCTCTGACAATCACAAGATGGTGGGTTTTATTTTAATCAGCCATCGTAATACCTCATTTACAAGTTCCTATTTCATTTTAATCATAAAAATACATGCATCATGGATCCAGATTGATTAAGTAAAGACGAAGACCTTAAAAACATTAAATGGGTAATGCTAAATGAGCCAAAGTATTTTCCCTCGCTCAACTCACCCAGTTGTTCTTGATTGGTGCCATCCTCTAGGAAAATGATTCTATCCAGCACAGCCCAGAAAAGAACACCCACAGAGAAGATGTCAGCCTGGGCTGTATAACTACGGCCTGCCCAAACTTCTGGAGCCATATAGAAGTCTGAGCCGCATGTAGAGGAAAGAGCCAGTCTATTCTGGACGCCATCTGTAGGATTGTCCACCATCTTACTGAGGCCGAAGTCTGCCACCTGTAATACATGAGGAGGGAGGTAACATGTTGTTAATAACTAGAACCAGCTTTCAGACCTGAGGTTATTGTTTTATTTATTTAATTAATATTAATTTACACATTTATATTAATTTAATAACCATTAAAATTGTTGTTTAATATATATTTAAACAATTGTATAATAAAAGTATTTAAATAGTATAATATAAAATAAAAAATATCTACTAAACCATTTATCTATTCAAATCATTTCTTCGTCTCTGCATATAAGGACAATTTTAAAAATATAGTCTAATATTATTGAAATTCTTCAGTTAAAATTAAACTACAGTAAATATCAGATATACTTGCAATGGAAAATATTGTAAACTACAAAAGCACTCATTCAAATAGTTAAAAACAGAAGTTCAAGTGTTTTTTTTAACAACTATAGACAACTCAAACTCTAGAAAAGCCCACATTGTGCGATGCCTAATATTTGACTGGATCTAGGGCAAAATGGATCAGTCGCTTCAAAGCACACTACATTGATTGTCTCTACATGCAATGAAACGTAAAAAACTCATTATTTGAAACTTTAGAAGAATGGATTTTAAGACAATCCATTTCTAACTTTATCTGTAAGCTGATTGTTTTGCTAGACCTTTTTGCATTGAAGCTGACATACCCAGTCTTTGATATTGATTAACAGAAAAGGCTTAAAAATGGTCAGGTACAATTTGTGACTATACATAAGAGTCATTTGTGGGGAGAAAAACGACAATATTCCAAATGATTTACATCATAAACTGTCATTTTCTTATCTTATGAAATGTTCTCCAGGCACTATTGTGAATAGTTTTTATATTGTAGGGCAACACCAGAGCCTTTGTCTATGTCTAGCATGCAAAATTGCAAATACAAGTCCAAAAGTACTTTTGTATTGCTTTGTTATTTATTACAGTCCAGCTATAAGTGGAACAATTTTCAAGCCTACAGACTAATAAAAAAATTTTTTTAAAAAGGGAAGGCGGTAGAAAAAAAAAACAATGTGGCTCCATTAGCAGTATAGGCTATATCAAAAGCAAGATGAAAGCATGGAAAAAATGAAAATCGGGCCCATGACAATTGCACTTAGTTTGACTCCAAATACTTCATAAGCCATGAGCATTGAGCATTTTAACCAGTATCGATGGTTATATAACAACGTATATATTATTTTAGACTGCATCCTTTTTGTACCTTCATGACCGGTCCTGCTTTAGTAAGACGGACAAGAACATTATCTGGCTTTATATCACGGTGCACTACTCCACAGCCGTGCAGGAATGTAATGGCACTGCTGAGCTGCTCAAGCACTGCACGGTTGCACTCAGCATCCGGTGGCCTGGACAGAATGTACTGGTTTAAATCCCCTCCGTCGCAGTACTCCATCACCAACCAAAAGGCAAAGCAGCGCCTGGGAACCTCCTCTGTGGACATCAGTCTCCTCTTTGACCTGGAAGGATTCCTCATTTGGGTTTTTGAGTCTTCGTCCACCACTCTCCCTTTGAGAACACTCTCCACCAAATCCAAAGGCAGCCTCCCTGATCTCAGGGGCTGTAGTGTTCTAGGTCCAGTCTCTAGAAGGCAGTTGTATAGCGAGATGACATTGGGGTGGTTCTGTGCAGTGATTCTCATAGCCCAGAGCTCCTGCAAATACAGCTCTATACTCTCTGGGCTACAGCATGGTAGACGTTTAATGGCCACTGTGTCACCCCTATCGCCCCACCAGCCAGTCTCTGTCACGTGTCCCTTGAAGACCACTCCATAGCTGCCTCGTCCCACTTCTTGTTGCAAAGTGTAGATATCATCCATCCCAGCAGCCTTTGTTGTTCACTGAACCAAATGCAAGATGTGCTGGTGTTCTCAGGTGTTGAGTGTTTTATTCCATTGTTCTAAAATTCTAATAGGGGAAAAAAACAATAAAATTAGTTACATTAACTACAAAAAGTATGCAAATTATATTTATAATTAAATATATATATATATATCAACGTATATAAATTATATATAATATATATAAATGTCTGTAGTGGACATTATACTTTAGTGAATTTCTCTGACATCATACACAATCACATCACAGTTTTAAGTTTGGATGTCCTGTAAAGAGCACATTCAGGGCTTTTTGGAGGTTTCACCATGACAACAACTCCTCATTGGTCTTTAAAAAGGACTGACATTAATTTAGTGATCAAATTTAGCACTCTTATGGAAATATGATAATATTTTGTAATAATAATTTAAATCGGACAAATTTTCAAATTGTTTGTCATAAAGTTGTTGGAAAATGTTACGAGGTTTCTAATCAAAATATGACCTTCTGTTACAAAACAGGGCATTGATTTCATACATGTCCACTGTAGAGGATACCAGGTCTTTCGTCATGTTTATCAGGCATTTTGGGAGACAACAAGTGAATAAGGAAAGACATGCAATATGTGGGTAAAATAGATAAATGGCCAGGTATTCCTATGAAATATTAGCTATTATTATGAAAATTTTGCCAATTATTACTCCCGATATTATACTGCTTTTTTCATTACATGTTGCCCCAAAAACACATTAATATGCAAATTAGATACAGTGTATAGGTATAAAAGTCTTTCTATATCAGTGCAAGTAATAGTTGTGATGTTAGTTTATATGTTTGATATAGGTATAGAGAGAATTGAACATTTAAGCTCACATGTAGTCATTTTTATAGCTTTATCTTTTGATTATAAAGCTTATTTATATTACCTTTATATATTTATAATAATTTAAACTAAGTGCTTCATAATAACTGCTAAACTAAAATTGTACACGTGTAATGGATTAAGGGTATAATTGCATAAATAATATCTAAATCATACAAAATTATTACTATAAATAAGCATTGCTAAAAGCTAGATAAATTTGTCTTTAAAAATCTTTTACTGTGTAGTGACCTTTAATTTGGAGTAGAAACAGGGGGAGTGACTTTATCGCATCAGACATGTGTCACTTTGCTCACAGCTGATTGGTCCAATTTCGGGTTGCGGTCTCTTACCTGGAACATAACCTCCAACCTAGCCGTAGAGCGAAAGTTACTATGGCGATGAACACTGCAAAAAGCCTAAAAGCCAAACCACTTTCATAGTGCCTAAAACCCAGGATTGGCGCAAACTAAACTGAAACATACCTGGCTATCCATTTAAAACGGGTTCATAATGTAACGTTAGGCCACTACAGAGGACATAGCATAACATATGAATTAAATATCTTTTCAAAAATGTTTTTCCCCAATCTGTTTCATATATATATATATATATATATATATATATATATATATATATATATATATAACGTTATATATATAATTTGTGAAAAAATATATTTTTATATATATGTGCGTGTGTGTAAACCAAGTCCTTTAACTAGACAACACAATTGTGTTTACAGTTCCTATTAAGACAGTTCCTATTAATCAAATTACCGGTCGTTACAATATAGCTAAACATTTATCTTGCTTTAAAATAACAGAGAAATGGACGCCATCAAAATATTGCACTACTTTAGCATTTCCACTCCTGTTGCTTTTTGTCAATAATGTGAATAAACTTACCGATTAAATCGCGTCGAATGGAAAGTGTAGTTATTCAAAAGTTTTTTTGTTTGTTTGTTTTTTATATAACATATAATTCATATAAAAACGTCTTGTCAGTGTCCGACCTGCAAGCACTCATAATACAAATCAAATGTAAACAGCACCTCATTTCCGTAATAAAACTTCCGTATTTTTTTAGATCTTCGCGCGTCTGGTGGTGTTCTGCCTTTCTATTGGTCAATGCCGTTTCAGATGACAGCGTTCACCAATAAGATACTAGAACGTCAACATCCATTTCAAAGTGACCAGTGAAACTCTTTTTAACAAGGCTCGCCTTGATACAAATCTTTTAAAGGCCTTTATTAGTGTCTGAAAATCAAGAAACGTAATTAATAGTTTGTAACATTATTAGTTTTGTCAGGTTTTGCGTGTAATTTGGTTTGGTTTGATAATCATAACAACGCAAGCCCAGTAGACCTACTACACTAATCTGTTTAAAACCCAGTTAAATTATATAGTTTGGAAAATTATTGTGAATTAAATTTTCTAAACTTAAAATTCAATATAATCATATTTTTGTTATCGCTTGTTAGTGAGCACAACAAAACCACGCATACATTCAGACAAGACGGAGCTACATAATGAAGGTAGGTTGAAATGCAGTCAAGAGTAGTCTACTAATAAATAATATCGGGGCAAGTTTCACATATGTGTTTTAAATGTTATACATTTATACAATTTGTTGGTCAAAACAGTTATTTGACATGTCAGTACATTTCATTTTACATTGTTGCTGTTAAGATTTAGCTGAAAAAAAAATAGCCTAATAGTAGGCCTAGTCTATGTTATATTATGACAATTTACCCCATAATGTTTTTTTTTTTTTTTTTTGCAAGGGCAATAACAGAGGAAATATTCAATAATTTTGGGTTTATGTTCTTTCTTTCTTTCTTTCTTTCTTTCTTTCTTTCTTTCTTTCTTTCTTTCTTTCTTTGACTCCTCATGGTCTCCCCTATATATACCCTATCAGAATCAAGGATTATCCAATTTTAAAAGTGGGATTAAACAGTAATTGTATAGCTGTTTTGTGTTAAAAGCTCAAAAATCCCCCATAAGAATCTAAGTCTTTTAAAATTTGATAAAAATCCCTGACACAAGGTGGCCCTTTAATGCTTGCCTAAAGTTACCAAAATGTCAGACACAGATAAGGAAACCTCTATGATAACACAAGAACATCCCCTGCCCTGACTGTCTGAACAGGCTGTCACTCCCATTCTCGCATTACAGAAAATACCCATCCAATTATTTTCTTCTAATTTTACTTCTCTGCTAACTATAGCAGCACCTACATTATGTCTAACCAATGACCAACGAATTTCTCGTTCCTCATCCAGTCAGAGTCCTGAGATATATTCCGACTCAGTGCCATATGTTATCTAGTCCTTTCAGATTATTTTTGTGTTGATTTTCTACAGCCTTGAGAAAATTCTATAGCCTCAATCTCTCTCACCCACTGGCTTTATATTTCCCATATTTTATAATTATTGAATCATGTCTTTGGGTCATTCTGTTTAAATCAATTAAGTGTCTAGAATTAAAAGTCATCATTGAAAATTATTGCCACGGGCTTCCCATAAAACATAGTAGTGTCTCACAGGGACGGACAAGCCTCAGTGCTCTTCATCGCCTCATATAACAATAAAACTTTGCCCTGGAATGATGAAGGGAATGAAACAACATTGAGGCCCCCCAATCATTCTGCGTCACAGAGGTGAATAAGCCTACTCGTATAATTGCATATCTTGCGTAAACTGACTTCAATCTTACTCTGAGGTGGTATCTCACCACAATGCGTTCAGGTGCTGGTTCCGTGATTCAGCCACTGCTGTAATATGATATGGCACAGAATCTGATGAGTTCCTCTGTAGCGGCAAGGCACATTTCTGTTTGTCTGTGTATAATATCTAATTCCAGACTTACTGCATAGAACAGTATGCAAATGCATGGGACAGGGACTCAGGTGATGGGTTATTTTGGTTGTCTATTATTTAGGAACGAGTTATCAAAGACTGAGTACTGGACGCATGAAATTAATAATTGTGATGTTTATTGGTTCATTTCATCAGTGGCACAAATACATGACACATGCTTTTTATAATCACTATGTGCATTTAGAGATTAATTACAAATCAGGATTTGAGTTTATTTTTGCATCTAATCCATGTTATTTAACAGCCTCTGAAATGACATGATTAGGAAGATCAAAGCAAGCTATTGTACTTAAAGTGTGCTCTTATCCAGACCTATATTAGCTACTGGTCTTACCCAAATTAGTTTATTTTTCAACAGGCTTTTTCTAATGCTGAACCACTTACAATTATAATGTGCTCATTCAAGTAATTATCAGCTAGAACACAATGTTACAGTATTTCAATTTTCCCCATGCTTTTTTTGGATTTCGTGTGTTTTTTGTTGGCTTTGCATGCTTATATATGCTCATTATGTAAGATCACAACATCCTTGCTGGAAAGACCAGATCCAAGCTGGTTTTTGCTGGTCTACCTGGTTTTGAATGTGAATTGATATTAGCAAACTCCAATTTGAATTTTAATGTAAGTTAGTACTGTCACATTCTTGTTTCAGTTTTGTTTTCGTGGATTTTTAGTTTGTATCGCATTATTTCTTGTGTTTCCTTGTGTTGTCATGGTTGCTAAATATGTTTTCGTTTGTCGTCGTCATGGTTACTTATTGTTTCATTGATTTCACCTGATCCTTGTTTTGTTCATTGAGTTTGCTTGATATATTGCCTTAGTCGAGTCTGTTTTTTGCCTGGTGTTGTTTGTGTTTGCTCACACTGCTACTAGTGTTTGTTTTCATTGTATTTTTTTTGCTTTGTTTAGTATATTAAAGTTAATAGTGCTGCAAGTTAGATCATCTGTGCCTCACCTCGTGATCACCGTGACAAGTACTAAAGTAAACTTAATTTAGTGTGTTTATCCAATTGATGTTTCCAATGTATTTGAATTGATGAAATAATAATTTTTTAAAAAAGTTACCTCAACTTTAGGAGTAAGTAAAACTCAAAAAAGCCATTGCAAAATTTATATATATATATATACATACAGTATTTCAGTTGAGATTGTTCACAGTGTAGGAATTAGATATTTAATAAAAGGAAGATTTGTTAAGAAAGACTTCTTATTGACTTGAAAGAAGTCAAGAATATTGATAGAAATTTTAAATTACGTCATATTTAATAAATTAGCTTTTGTGGACCAAAGTGTGAAAAAAATCTGTGTTGCATTTCTCTGAATTGCAGTTCAGTAAATTCCTCTTCCTCTCATTCCTTTTTAAATTTCAAGTCAACTTCCTGTGGGTTGTGGCCAATTCAGATCAATTGTATTTCAAATTGCAACTTGCAAGAAACCAATGAAGTATGTTTTAAGGCTGATATATTAAAAACAAATACATTTTATTGAAATGCTTTATAAAATCAAGTTATTTTTATAGTTATATTATTCATTACTCTTTTAAACATTGCTTTAATTTTTGTCTTCTTATTCTTGCGTGCACAATCCTGTCTTTCCTTTTGGAGTGGATGTGAAGTGTCAGCGTCCACCGAGACTTCCCTTTGCCTCTGGGAGATTTTGTTTTTCTCCTGTATGCACCGCTCAACTGTAAATCTCAGGCTTAATTTGCAATTCTCACTCCCAAGTTAGCGCTTATCTTGTTAAAGGAACGTTATCTAAGTTTCTTATCATCAGTTAATTGATGGGAACTATGTTTGGACACATACAGTCAATAGATAAAACCAATGATTTTTTGGTCCATGACAAGAATGAATATACAATTTGAATGATGCATATTTTTAGCCCAGGTCCTATCTTTTGGGATGGAGGTGACGTTGATCTATACGTCAGCCTTGACTAAGGGTTGTATGTCTGTCCAGGTTGTGCGTAATACCCTCCATGGTGTAGCCCCATCCACCGACACTGGGGGGGCTGAACCAGTGGAAGGGGTGTGTCGTTATAAGAGGGGAGAGAAAGGGAGCAGGCAAGCAGTTGAACAAACCAAGAAGCTGAAGATTGGACATAACCACCACACCTCAAGACTGAAAGTGAGAAAGAGACTGACAACAACCCCTTATCGCAGACGGCAGGTAAAACAAGATGTCATGGTGATGCCTGCATTTTTGTATTGATTCTAATTCCACAGTGAAAGAATGCAGATTATACCTGTTTTATTGGGTCATTTGGTTGTTGTTTTTTTACCTGATGTGACTAGTATTTTGTGATTACTCGCATTTTTTTTTTTTTTGATTGCTTGTCTATTAATGTTAATATTTGTTGAAGCAATAATGACTGCAATTGCATTCACAGTCAATGGTTTTCTTATGGGGGTGCGAATGAGCTAATAAGTGCTGCTCTTTAAATAATATATTTTTTTCCATTACTCATGGCTTTTCCTCATTAATCATCTTCACGGTTACCAATTAACCGGCATTAACCTTTGTGGCTGAAATTTCTTGCTGTTGCTTGTAAACTTTTTGTTGTTTGTTTTTCATTTGCAGACATCTGTCTTTCTTTTTATTTATTCTTTTAAATATGTTTTTGGTTAATAAGCCACTTTTACAAAGGATGGATTTATTGTAAAAATAGAACATAAAAATCCCGGATTATGTTAGTTTTTGGAGGTGTGGCGTTAGGCTCTCTCACTAATTTTATGTCCACTTACAATTGATTGAACCGGCATATAACACTAGACAACAGTACCAAACAAATGCATTCCATACAAAGCTTTGATCACAGACACTTGAGTGTCTGCGCTGGGTTTGCCAGTGAAGAGGGAAAGAGCAATTCTGATACAGCTGTTTTTACAGCCGTAATTAAACTAAACCTAAAATGATGTGTCCACTGAGACTCCCTTTAATCAACTAGAGTATTTTGTGCTTATTTTTCATTCCAATTTTTTAATGAAATTTCAGCCTTGCGCAGAATAGCAACAAGTGCGCTATTCATTTAATATTTTCAGCTTCTAAGACAACATTTAATTTATACTAGTAAATAACATTATCAATAATAAAAAAGACTGGAATAAATGTAAATATGTTTGTGTGGGGTCATATATATATTTTATTTAATGTATATATAATACATATAATGTGTATATATATATATATATATATATATATATATATATATATATATATATATATATAGCCTATATATAATGCATGATGCAAAGTATTGTGAAGGCAAGGCACAAATATGAACTGTTATCTATCTGTGGTGATTTTATTTGTTAACTAAATTTAGTTAATTTTTAATTATGGTTAAATTTTTTTATAAACAGTTTTATAAACATATCATATTTAACAATACAAAAGATAATGATAGTTGAATCATTATTTGGAATGATGTAAATTAAGATAGATTAAGTAAATGTTATTTTTACCCAAATTAAGGAATATAACAATATGTATTTATTATAATTATATATAAACATAATTTTTTTTAACTTTTTTAACTTTATTTGTCCTTTATTATTATATTAATTATTTGCAAATTCTCTGTAAGAAGCACTCTCTCTGCAATCAAATGTCTCTTTTAAGGCCTGCGAAATATCTTCATGCATTCATGAATGTCATTAAAAAGTGGACATATATTTTAAACCAATATCTGTGTACCAATATCTTTCAAACCAATGCATCTGAGGACGACTAAGGCAAATTCAAGACGAACACCGTATCTAAATAAATCTTCCAAATTGCACAGATTATGCTTCCCATAATAAATGCACCAATCCTCTGAATTGAAACATGAAAGCTGCTTGTCTAATTTCATGTAATTCTTTAAAAACTTTGCACTGCATGCATTAGGGAGACTAGTTTTCCTCAGATTAATTACCTGAGCCATGTTAAATTGATTTTTTACCCTAAAATCCATTAGAGCAGAAGCATTGCATGCATAATTACGTACATCTATCAATTAAAGTTGTACTCTCTTATATTGGCAAGATAAAATCTATTTAATCAATTAATGCCCTCACTGGATTTCCAGAAGCTGTCAACTTTTAAGCTTGAGCAACATATTTAATAGTAATTGCAATAAAAAATTGTGAGCAGCACAGAATCGAGGGATCACTCAGATAAATCCAGTATAAGGTTGAAGCTACCATAACCACATCGTTTGTAATTATGCATAATTGTGAGACTTAACTGAATGTATTTTATCCCATTCTCAGCTGTTCCTTAACTTGGACTCTAAGACTGTTGAATAAATGTCTAAATGAATAAAATGTTTTTTATAGAATTTAGAATTTTATACACCTCCACAGCTCATTGTGAGCAGCATTATTATTATAACTGCTTCTGATGCCTATATCATTTTGATTTTACATTGAAATCGCAAACCCTGTGAAGGAATTGTGACTTTCCATGAGTCAAACTGTCTGATGTATGCATTTACTTTCACCTTTGCTTTTGATTTGAAAGGTGGTGACAGTGGCATTTATTGCATTTTCTCCTCGCAGTGGAAATATCATGCAAATAGTTCTTCAAAAATAAATAAATAAAGAAACTTTTCACTCCCTCCCCCTTCTCTTTATGCTCATTGTCATGGCCACGGGGAGGATAATGCAATGATTGCTGCTGTTCTGCCAGTGAAGAGGCAGTGTGTGTGTGGAGGGGAACCATGATCATCTGCAACGGGACTGCAGACTCTGAGCCCTCTGGCTATCGTTGTGCTCTCAATTAAAGTAACCATGCGAATCCCCCCATTCCTCAACGGAAATGGTAATGACAAAGAGGAGAACCTAGATTATTTTGATACGATGCTATTGCGAAGGACAAAAAAAATGTTGCTAGATGTAGCAAACAGGTGAGCTATCATTTACTGTGTAATAAATCCGAGATGAAGTGCATTCAGCGGATGATATTAATGTGGATGAGAAATGAGAAAGAGGCCATGTTCTTCCGTCTGCTGTGGAACAAACAAACAAAAGTAATTGTTAGCCAAACAAAAGTAAAATTAATTTCATGTTGCATGAAATGTCATGACACAGTTGACCTACAGAAATAGAAACGGGAAAAATACAAAGCAGAAGAAAAGCAGCAGACTTGATTTTCAGAATCTGGTGGTGACTCAGTTGAAGCCAAGGTGCGGGGACAGAATAAGAATGGGGTTTGGTGTTTACCGTGGAGGTGATACGATCAGGTGGCTGTAGGAGAGAGCGAGCAGACTGATCAAATCAGATTAGTCGCTTTCCCTTAGATTAGTCAAAGACTGTGGACAGAGCACCTTCCCTATAGGAAATGTGCACCGCGTGCAGCTTTCATGGAGACAGTTGACCCAAAAATAACATTTCTGTCATCATTTACTCACATATCGTTCCAAAACTTTTTTGTCAGTACAATGAAAATCAATGGGGTCCAAAACAACACTAATACTAAGATATATTATCTTCTTTTGTGTTCCACAGATTTGAAATGACATGTATCATAATATTTTGTAAAGACTTCTATCTCTTCTATGAAACTGGGGTCAATTAGGTCAAACAGGACACTTCTATTTCTCAGCAAAATAAACCTAGTGAAAAAAACCCATACCAAAATGTATTTAAAATACATTTATTTCATACTACTACAAATACCACTAAAATATTGATTGACATATTGCTTGATACTTACTGATATAAAATATTATAATTCAACTTTATTTGGAATATATTTCTTCACTGCACAATGCACATTTCTTTATAGTAAGCCTAAAATGGCTTTTAATATCACTATTAGTAAGGATAGTATGATCTCTGTATAATATCAGTCTTTAAATGCAAGATATTAGTATATTTGCAATAATTCAATTTTAGCACAATTGACCTAATTTCCGGATAACTAAAGTGCATTTAGTACAAAATTAGTTGTTCCAATTTAGCAGATTTTAAGTATATTAATTTAGAATACCTAAAGTACAATTGCAGGGTATTTATAATAAGTATAAATATGTAAATGTATTTGTAGTTTACTTTTCAAATTTTGGTATATTTATTTTTCACTGGGAATACAGGCACCGAATTAGTATTGCAGATGACAAGTTGCTAAGGTTGATGCCTTTGCACTCTCCCTCCAGCTGTTTTCATATTTCCATTATCTCCGCCAAACACTTTTAATAAGAGATTATACCAGGGGATGATCATAAAAAGTTCCATCAAATCACTCTCTAAATTGAACTGTATTAATGATGCAAGGGATTTAATTGGTTGGAAAACTTTTTTAGTGTAGTGTTTTTTGATGGTCCTTCCCTCAGAGTGCATTGGATACCCATGTCCACATGATGGGCTGTAATTATACTTACTCACTGAGCAGAGACTTCTCAAGATGCTTTTATTGTCAACTTTTCATCACAGCTCCGCCGAAAGATTTTTGTTGGCTTTCATCAAAGAAAGCTTTTAGAGGTGCGCGCATGTGTGCGTTTCTCTCCTAATGCGGTCGTGACTAATGTGTGCTGGCGCAGTGTGTGAGTCAGAGTTTGATGGGAACTGCATTCCCGCTCTTTCTCTCCCGCACTCATTTCCTTCTCATTATGCCACACACGCTAATTCAGACATTAATTAGGGCCTATGATGAGTTTCCATAATGAACTTCAGTAGCCTATGTGTGTGTGTGTGGGGGGGGGGGGGAACAGATGGTGCGGATTTTGACATGTTTCAGTGGTGGTGGTGATCCACATCATTACGTTATACTTTCATGTGTGAATTTTGCAAATAGGTTTGATTCACTTTGAGACTTTGCTCTTCATTGTGATTGTCATGACTTGATCTTATCTCCAGAGGGACATGAGTTTGACTTCTGGGAAAGTCTTTAAAGTCCCAGATCTTTAAAGTGCCAGATTATCGGTTCTTATATCTGGGATTAGCAGGAATTCCTTTAATTGATTGACAAGGGTGAAAAAAAGGTGTTTCCAGAGCTGATTAGCTATAGGTCAAATTGGCTTTGGATGTGCACGGGAACGTCCTTGTAAAATGTACTAGACCTCTCAAACTTTACCCCGGAAATCGATTGGAAGCCTAAAACTTCATTGCTTTCATTAAGAATATTACCCCATTAGATCAAAAATATTTAGCAAATGATCATTCATATAGTTAGAAAATTTGTGATAATGCAAGAAAGTTTAGAGCCGAAAAAGAAAGAAGTATACTCATATGCTCACCAAGGCTATACATTTATTTAATCAAAAATACAGTAAAACAGTCATTTTGAGAAATATTTTCTATTTCAATATATTTTAAATGTAATTTATTCCTGTGATGACAAACCTGAATTTTCAGCACTTGAGTGTCACATGATCCTTCAGAAATCATTCTATTTCTAATATCAAGAAAAAATTCTTCTTATTATAAATGCTGAATTGTGCAGTTGAGATTTTTCAGGATTCAATCTTTTCAACGGTAGTTAGAAATGTCAAAAAATCTAATCATTATAAAAATACATATATTAATATATATCATGTAACAATGATCTCTAAGGAACCCCTGGAGTACCTTCCACAGACCCCTGGTAAAAAGGTTCTGGCAGGTCACGTTAGTCAAGCTCGCATCAGCTGACTCTCAGCTGATCCACGTCTACCTATAGGAATACGACGCCTATCACTGTATACATATATAAGCTCCTTCATTATTATCAGCAGCTCTCGTGTTTCTCAGGAGCTAATTACCCTCCTCCATCCCCAGCTCCTCCTCTCGCCCAGTCAGGATTTGGCATTCTGATTCCCCTTGAATCTGAATAAATTCTCGAATTATGTTGTACTTTAAAATCTTGAATTAATGATATCTGCAATACATTCATGTTGGTTCTGTTCTGTTTACCCTAAGGGGGGTTATTACTGCTCTCCCTGCTCTTATCCATGCTAGGCTGCATGGATGCGCAGGGAGTTCTTGCAATGAACAGAACCATCCCGCCAATCCAAACTGTATGCTAATTGTCAATAGTATTCGACGATAGTGGTCCTGACAGAACTGGAGACATAAAATGAGTGCGCAAGATGAAGCCAAGGGGCAAATATGACTAAATTACAATCCCTGAGCCAAATTGCTTTGCAGTAATTTTTTTAAGAGTTTTTCTAGGAACCACTTCAAATTTGCTCTTTTACTTTATGAACCTATGCTTTCTTAGTCACTATAAAGTGCTTAGAGTATCTGTAGAAGACTTTACAGACTTTAAAGTCTTCTACAGACTTTACAGCCAAAAGTTGTAAACTGCATGTTTAATGCAGAAAATGATTACCAGTCAAACATCTCACCCCTCTTCTCTTTCCTTCATCAGAGCTCCCAGTGGCTATTACTTTTGTTTAATCCGGTGTGTGTTCCGTGAAGAAGTCATGAAGACCCCTTTATGGACCCTGCTGCTCTTATGCTTGTGCTCCGCGGGTCACAGCGACTGCCAAGGGGACTGTTTAACCTGTGGACTCATCCTACCTGAACATCAAGCTTTTAATACATTGGTAAGTGCCCCGTCTACTAATAGAAAAGTATACAAACTCCCTATTAATGTTCATGGTTTTGTGGTGTTTGTAATAAAACAAGTAATAAATCAAATATGTCTTTAAGATATCTTAAAGCAGGAGTGGATGAGAAAACTGTAATACAAATCAACTTTGTTAAAAGTTGGTCTTTGTCACAATAGTGGCTGTAATGAAGTTGCTAATGACTGTGCAGACCAAACAGCTGTGACTGGGATGATTGGGGTAATGCCTGCCCATAATTGGCTGCTGTGGTGCCGTCAGCTGCTGATGTTGTGGTAGTGATTGACACTTGGTGGGGGCTCTCTTTCTGTGACCAGATGGGTCCCTTTGGGCATGGTTTTCCTCTGTGACACCACAATGGTGTCAGACTTTAACATTTCATCAACAGATGAAGACAGTATATTCACACTCACATACAGTGCATGCTAAATCTGTTTTTCTTATCCCCATATATATATATATATATTGTCTTTTATGTTCTATCTGATTGTTTTTCAGATGGCATCGACATTTAATTCGCAATGGCCAATTACTTTCCATGCATGCAACTTCTAGTTTCACTCCACTGCTACAGTATAAGCCGCTACACCATTTATGATCTATTTTCCCCTATAAATGGGAGATAATAAAAAAAAGGCTCACGCTACATGATCATCTTTAGAGAGGGCATCACATGAACATTTTGAGGCAAGAACATTTGTCTAGAGCTGAGCTGATCACATACATACGTACATAATAAAGATTTTTATCCCATTCTAGTCACTCAATTATCATATCATTTCTTGCACCAATGCCACATATCATTTCACATCTCATTGCACTGGTAAGACCGTTTGCATGCAGCATTGTGCCACTAGGAATGTTTTCGATTTTTTATTAGAAAGGGCAAATTCAAATAACATCATAAATCTCCAAAGGATTAAACTTATTTCCATTTTAAATGGGAAATGTTTTATATTCTTCTATCCGTTATTTTAACGGAACAAAATATAAACATACACAAAAAATCAAGTTTTTTATAATATTAATTGATAATAGGCCTTATAATAAAGGTTTCTTGAGCACCAAATCAGCATATTAGAATGATTTCTGAAGGATCATGTGACACTGAAGACTGGAGTAATGATGCTGAAAACTCAGCTGTGTGCCATCACAGGAATAATATAATAAATAATACATTTTAATAATACATTTTAATATTCAAATAGAAAACAATTGTAATATTATTTCACAAAGTTCCTGTTTTTACTGTATTATAGAGAGGGAAATCATTTCAACATTTAAATTGTGTTCAGTCCAGTCCATTTTGATGAGTATTTGTCCATTTTATCTAACTGTTTTAAAGAATAAAAAATCTCTATTATGAAACGATATTTCATGTCATGTAAAAAAAAAAAAACTCTGCTATTTTGCAGGTATGTATCCTGGAATGTGAGGCACGGGCTTCTCCTGCATTGACCTGGGATTTGTGTTACCAAGCAGCGGGTCTGAACCAGCTTCCACTACCGTTACAGCAGGAGGAAACATCAAAGCGCTCTGATGATGAAGGGGAGCCTCTGGCCACAGTGAGCATAGAGAATGACAATGGTGTCGAGTATACTGAGGCTTTGGAGCGGTTTCGACACGCCGCGCAAGCACTCCGCAGCCAAAAGCCTTCAGAGGAGGAGAAACTCGGAATTTCATATGACCCAGACCTTGACCCGGGGACAGAGGAGGACCAGGATGGTGTAGGAGAGGAGAAGAGCGGTGAGACAGCCGTGAGCGTATCCAAGCGGTTTGGAGGTTTTATGAAAGGTCGTCACGGTTTCCGGAAATTGGTGAGCTCCGGAAGGCCTTTGCAGAAACGCTACGGTGGCTTCATAGGGATAAGGAAATCTGCCCGCAAGTGGAACAACCAGAAGCGCGTGAGTCAGCTACTGAGGCAGTACCTGAGCTTGACGGGCCGCTCGGGGCGTAACCTCTCCACCAGAATCCGAAGACAGAATGAAGTTTAGATGGCCTTTATAGTACAGGCCCTGGTCTTTTCACTTACCTCAACTCAACTGCTCATCAGCCATCAGTAACTGTGAACATCTGTCATGCACCACAGCCAGGCCAGAACTAGATAAATCTGTGTTTAATCAAACAAGAGGAATATTTTGTTTAGCGTTGGTTTTTATCATTAACATTTCCATGGTGCCGTTCCAGACATCAAATACATCTCAATCAAGTCGTTAGGACAAATGTTGCTGATGAGAACTGATTGTTTATTTCAGAATCAAAACTCCTAGAATTAACCTTGAAGCATTGTGAAAAAATAAAATAAAAGGCAAAGCAGTGAAACTTGAGCACGTGAATCAGTTACAAATGAGAGCTGTGGGTTGTAGTGGAGTATCGGGTTTTCTTGTTCTGTTTTTGAGGATTACTGAGAGAAAAGCACTTTATATTTTTACCTTGCACACTGTGTTGTGCTAAGATTGATTGTTTGCACACATCTGTGTTGTATTGAACAATCTCGGAAGCAAGATCAGAAGCAATCTGGGATCAATCAGACTGGTTTTCAAAATCAAAAACAACAGGTGATCATTTTTATCCCCAATATATATTCTTTAGGGTTTTATGGTTTTGTGAGCCAATGCTGCCCCCTAGAGCTTACACTCGAAATTATAGTCCATATTTTGTGGAATACCACACATAAAAAATCCTGACAGATATCACTGAAAATAGCTGCCTGCATTCACGCCATGTCATAATTAGCCTACCTTAAATAAAGCTCTGAATGCTTTCGAATCGCTCTTGCGGTACTTTGATGTCACACACCGATCGGTATGCACAGCCGCTTCAAGTTGAACACACGCACTTTAAAGGGTTAGTTCACCCAAAATTAAAACGATAATTCTGTCATTAATTACTCACCCTCATGTCGTTCCAAACCCGTAAGACATTCGGTCATCTTTGGAAACCAAACAAAGATCTTTTTAATGAAATCTGAGAGCTTTCTGTTCCTCCATTGACAGTTTACACAACTACCACTTTAAAACCCCAGAAAGGTAAATAAATCATTAAAGTTATCCATATGACTCCAGGGGTTTAACCCCAATTTTATGAAGAGACGCAAGTGCTTTGTTTGTGTAAAAAAACAACAACAAAAAAACATAGTTTACCACTTTATTTAAAAAAAAAAAAAAAAATTAACCTGCAACACACGTTAATGCAACAATGGCTGCTCTCACGTCAACACAACACACATGAGTCGTGGTGCTCTAGCGAACTCTAGGGGATGTTTCCGTAAGCAAAGCACTCAAGTCTCCTCGTAAAATTGAGGTTAAACCACTGGAGTCACATCACATGGATTACTTAAATTATGTCTTTAATTACCTTTCTGTGGCTTGAAAGTGGTAGTTGCTTAGGCTGTCAATGGAGGGACAGAAAGTGAAGGCTTTTTGGTTACACCTTATTTTAAGGTGTCCTTATTACAGTGTAATTATACATTTAAGTACTGAGTAATATTAATTAACTACATGTACTACTTACTTTAGGGTTAGGATTACGTTTGATTTTGGGTTAGTTGCAAGTAATTATGCATTACTATGTATTTATGAAACTACATGTATCTTGTGTAACAAGGACACTAAAATAAAGTGTTACCAGCTTTTTACAGTTCAGAATCGTTACGGTATTTACGACATGGCATGAACGCATCTAATATGACAGATAGGCTCAAAGCAGAATCTGACCATGGCCAGTACATGTTAGCCAATCAGAAAATGTGGGGCAGCTCTCTGTCCTAACAATAGCAGCTGGGGAGTGTTCAGAAAACTTGTTGGAGAACAATTCATAGTCATTATTTTTGCAATTCGCAGACATAGCACATTTTATTGTTTGCTTCCAACTGATGAGAATAAATGTAGCATGTGTTCCAGCTTTCTGCATTTATTTGTGCATGAACATACAAATGAGATCATCTTAGTACTTGACAGATTCTCCCTCACATTAATACTCATCGGATGTCACGGAATAGGTTTTGAAAACTGACACCCCCTACGTGTAAAAAAAATAACTAGCAGGTAGTCTTTCAGCATACTTTACAGTATTCTGCTAATAATTGTATGGTTTTGTCTGTGTAGACATTTTGGCTTTGTGAATAATTTTCATTTCAAACACATTCTGCTAGCATTTTTGGAAGTTTTTTCTTTTAATCCTTTCCACTTGTACATGAAATGCACACAAAAGGCCAATAAAATAATTTTACAATTGTTCTTGATATTTGTCATGCACAAATGACAAGCTTATGACATTTGCATATTTTATCTTGTGTCTACTTAATTATACATAATATCTTTTTTCAATGTGATGTTATGCTTTCGAATCTTTTTAGATGTTTCCAAGGGAATGATCCGTCATTGTACAAGACCTTAAAGTCCCTGTAAAGTCAAAATTAAGTATGTGTTCTGAGTTTGTCACACCACAGAAAAATTTGTTATTAGCCACCCAGACAAATTTGAATGATAAAAAATGCCGGCAAGTACATAAAATAAGCTATCAAAAATAGCAATGGTGAAAAACTGTTTAACGGTCTAACTCCACAATTCAGTAATTCACAGTTCACAGTCTTTGTAATATGTTTTAGCAATACATGTCTAACATTTATAATGGGTTTAGAATTTTTTTTTTAGAATGGCCTTTACAGGGACTTTAACACTTTTTGGAAGGATGTCAAAAAACGCACAAAAGGAAACGAGCCCGATCTATTGTCCGGGCAGTATTCAGTCAAGCTCCCTTTAACTCTTTGCAATAGCACTTTGGTATTCAATCAAAAGATTATAGCTGCACTTTTATCTCCAGACAATACTGTGACCACCATTGTGGCCAATATCATTCACTCAACACCACTCTAGCTTTATATCTGGCAGTTTAGATTGATTAGGAAGAGCTGTGGCAAACGATAGTCAAACTTTGCGAAACTCAAAAGTTGTGACTTAATTCTGAGTAAATACATAGAAAAAAAAAGACAATACATGACATTACACTGTTACACCTTTCAGGCTAACAAAACGGCAATAGAAAAAACAGCATGACAATGCTGAGAGCAATACATTGTCCACAGTATACAAAAATCAACAATCACTTAAATATCTCAGGTATGGATGAAGTGCAGGACTGGGGTAGAAAAACACCTTGTTCAAATACAGGGTTACACCTTAGTCTCGTGAGAGGGCAGAGTTCACCCTTAAGAGCTTGGGATCCTACTACTCCACATTCTCGACAGCTAGTACCAGCGTTCACTTTGTGGGAAATCATAGCCAAAACACTTTTAACGCTAATAGGAAAACAAAAAAAAGGTAGAAAAGTGAAAAGAGGGATCCTCTACAGTGCAGGAAATAGTTGGAGAAAAGAAAGAAAATGGAGATTCTTCCTCGTCTCCTAAAGTCTTTCAGTTTAGTCTGGGAACCGCTGACAGGCTTTCTTCCAGCGGCAGGCGGTGCACCATTGGTCCCTGCGCTCCACGCCGTAGACTTTCCGGCACTTTTTGGCCTCACCGCGGCCCTTCCTAAGGAAAAGATATTATAAAAAAAATTATAGTTAACACTTATTTATACTTGATTTAAATTTTAAAATGACTTTTTTTGTTGTGTAATGTTAAATTGAATTACATTTTTAAGTCATTAAACATTTTACAATGTATCTGAAAGGCTGCAAAGGCATAATATATTAATATATACAGTACCGGTCAAAGGTTTGGAAACATTGCTATTTTAATGTTATTCATGCCTGCATTTATTTGATCAAAAATACAGAAAAAATTTATGTTATTGTGAAATATTATTACAAGTAATGGTTTTCTATTTTAATATACTTTTAAAAATAATTTATTTCTGTGATGCAAAGCTGAATTTTCAGGATTTTTCAACTTTTTTCTAGCCTGGTTAAAACCAGACCATTCTCAGTTGTAACTGAGAGGGGTGGAACGGTACATGTATTCGTACCGAACCGAAACGGTACGGGCGTCACGGTTCGGTGCACGAATTTACACGGAGAATACACGGTATAAAAATAAATAAAACTCGCGTGAAAATTAATTAATGTAATGCGGAACTACTGTTAGATACGCGGGTTCTTTAGGGACACATAATCTGTACCATCGGCTTAGCTCTGAACGCGCGTTCACTTCAAACGTTGGCTTTATACGCGCGTCCTATTCGCTTTGGACTAGCGTCGAACTAGACGCGAATTTAACGCTCTATTCGCGTTTGGTGTGACCGCATAATGAACAGGCTGCGATGTCAAGATTGCAATGCTGGAGTGTGTGTGTTTGTGTGTGAGAGAGAGAGGCGCGGCCGCGATTGAACAGTGGAAACATAAAAAACATACTCCGTCATTTTGTTCATACAGATCATTAAAACTGCAAAGTGTTTACTTATATTTGTGTCCACTCGCAATAAAACACCACATTGTGCTTTTGTCACACTGTAAACTCTTGTCAAACTGTAACCTACAACTGTCACCCAATCTCTCTCTCTCTCTCTCTCTCTCTCTCTCTCTCTCTCTCTCTCTCTCTCTCTCTCTCTCTCTCTCTCTCTCTCTCTCTCTCTCTCACACACACACACACACACTGTTTTAAAAGCAAAACATATTTATCCAACTCCATTTCAAAACAGTCTGTGGGTCCCATCTTTTAGACATTCATCATATCGCATTGGTTTTCATTTCTCGTCCTCGGAGCACTAATCTTACACATTCTACATTGATTAAAAAAGAAAATTGAATGCGTTTTTAATGGTAATATTATTTTATACAGAAATCAATTATTTATAATTCATTATACCAAATTATTATATCAATTACCAAGCATATCGCAAGGTCTTTTTGTCTTTTTATTAATTAAATTAATAAACGAATTATATAAAACTATTGTCAGTGCACTACAAATAAACTGGTTCTATGCCTTTATTAATAAAACTTATTTAAAAAATACAATGCCTTCTGCATTTTTGTTTTGCTTTTCCCTCCATTGTACCGAAATCGTACCGAACCGTGATGTCTGAACCGAGGTATGAACCGAACCGTGACTTCTGTGTACTGTTCCACCCCTATGAGTTATGGTCTGGCAAAGCGTCATAGTCAAATCATTTCCAGAGGGGCGTCATCAACGGACGTCGGGGATAGACCTAAAACCAATCAGAGCGATGAAGGAGATGACATATGCAGAGTGGCGGAGAAACATCTCCGAGTGTTGTTCTTTGCTCGGTTTTTAACTAAAAGGAAACGTTCAAATCGCTTAAAACAGACGCGATAGCTGATTCGAACGAGTGATGTTCGACGGCGGCATCCATCTCTGTAATGTAGGCTACAAAATCTGCTTCAGAATCCCAGCGCTGTCGTCATCGT